CCAATGACACACTCACACTCCAGAGCCAGCTACCTGGTAAGGATGGCAGGCCTGGAAAATGGCTCCAGTGGGTGAGAAGGCAGGGTACGACGGAGCTCAGGGCCCCAAGGCAGCGGTGTGGCCAGCAGTCCACAAAGCCCATGCATGGCTGCAGTGTGCCCCATGTTGGCCAGGTGGGCTGGAGGCCTGTGGACCCCCAGGCACCACCGTAGGCTTTGATTTTGTGAGAAGCAGCTTAGGGAGAGTCAGACCAGGGTGAGGTGAACCCCATGAGCACAGTGGTGGCAGCTACACCAGCAGGCCCTTCAACACCCCAAACACCCGATGTAATAGCCTTCTTTTCCCAAAAACACACTATGATCCTCCTGAACTTCCCTCTGCAGTGCTCTCTGCCCTCCGTTCATGGGAACCTGTGTTCAAGGCTTTTTATCAGCCGTGCAGCATGCTCGCATTCCCTAAGAAATTGGGCAGACCAAGAACTGAACAACTGCCCTTGCCTAAGAGAGCATAAAAAAAAAAAGGCCTAAAAATACTGAAACAAATACTTTCATTCACTTTGAAATGTTCCCCAAAATGTTTAAAAGATGAATGGAAGTGTGAAAGCAGGGAAGACTGCAATGTCTAATAGAAAATAGGCAGTGAGTACAAAGGTGTTCACTGTCAAATTCTCTCATCCTCTGTTCACTTTTGAAATTTTCATAGGTAAACGTTACAGGAAAAAATAATTTCTATGTAAGTGGTAATACCCAGATGTCACTTTATGAAAGACAACTTTAGCAAGAGTCTCATATACTAATAAAACAGTCCTTCTCCCACCTTAGAGTAGATTAGGAAGGTTCCAAACTAGTATCTAAAATACACAGATCCCAACTCAGAGCTAATCTGAGCTGTGAGACTGTGTGCTATTATGGAGACCACCTGAACTGCTGGGAGCTGAGGGCTGGACCAACACGTGACACACCTGCTGCTGTAAGAGGCTGTGGTGACACGTGAAAAGTCGTGGCAGTGGTGGCGGGTCCTGGGCCTGTGGACCAGAGTCCCAGACCAGACCAAGTGGAATCTATCTCAGCTTGAGAGTAACATTCAAGACAAACTGAAGGAATGGTTCCTCAAACACCAAGAACACAGCCACGGCCTCCTGGTGACTCAGCAACAGCTGCTCTGCTGCTCAGCCTCTTTCTCCATGGCTGCCCTAAGCTGCCTGTTTAGGCATCTCTCCCCTAATCATCCAAGGAGACTTTAGTACCACAGCTACATCATATACTTGCTGAGGTACCATGACCCCTAGGGAGATCACAAACCACCGTTATACCTATCATGTTTTCACCCTCCTCCCAAGAACCAATTTTCACCCACCCACTCATGGGGGATATAACCCTGGTGGAGGATAGAGGCTCTGATGTACAGAACGAAGCCAGGAAAATGGGACGACCAAACCGGTTAGTCCTGGGGAGCAAGTCACAAACGAGAAAGAGCAAAGAGGGGCTGTGTGGCCTTCTGTGCTTCTGTACATCTGAACATCAGACCGAGAGGACAATTCATGCATTACTTGTATTAAAAGGCTGGCAACAACCCAAATGTCCTTCAACAGGTGGGTAGACAAGCTGTGTCCATCCACGCCACAAACACTCTCAGCAACAAAAAAACCAGCTTGTGATACATGTAGCACTGCATGAGTCCAGACGCCTTCTGCTCAGTGGAAGAAGCCAGACTCAAGAGGCCCCCGCTGTGGGCATTCCCTCACCTGACTCCCTGGAAAAGACTACCAGGCAGAGATCGATGTGCAAAACTCTCAGAATCCTACACCAAAAAAAGTGACTACTGTAAATTTGTAAAAAGCTAAAGGAAACGGCAAAGCAAGCACACGCACTTTCCCTTCCAGTGGGGATGTAATTTAAAGAATTTATTTCTACAGGATTAACAACATACAAGAACAAGATAACAGTTTTTGTGTCCACAAATAAAGCAGGAACCATGGAGGGGCAGAGCTGAGGTCACAGGCCCAAAGGATGTCCCCAGGAAAACACCAAGGGCCAGGGCCTTGACTCCTGAAGGGTGGGCACATGGTACCCCCCCTCCGAGGCTGAGCAGTACAGCCAGATTCCCAGAGGAGGATGCTGCTCTTCCTGTGAGAAAGGTCGACTGCTTGCCCTTGGCAGAGGAAGGAGGAGGATCTGCCCAGTGCACAGTGCCACAGCACTGGGACTACCAACCCTCAGGGAACACCAGCCCTATCCCAGCTGTGTACCCCAGAGCCTGAGCTGGCAACCCCAAACTCCCTGACAGGGGAGCAAAGGTTCCTTCCCATGCAAAACAAGCACTGAGACATAAAGGGGGTGGGGGGACAGACAGTGCCAACAGAACTCCCTGCCAGAAAACAACAGCCAGACCAACTATGGGAGGCTGCCACCGGGAGACGCCCAATCTCACACAGGGTTTCTGGAGGGCAAGGTCAGGTAGCTGAACCCTTCCCTGACCCTCTCAAATGCTCCCACCTGCAACGGACCACCCCATCTCAACCCACAGCAGACCTGAACAACTCCAAGAGCCAATCTCTAACTCACAGCACCCCTACGATTATTAATTACCTGTTTGCGTAGCTCCCTAAAAACTCGCCTGCTTCAGGAGGTAATCTGTTTGTGAACTCATTTACTCAGCACATACTTAGGACCCTCATCCCATCACACACCACTGAAGCACTGGCGTACGAAAGAAGAGAGCACAGTTCCTGCCTCCAAGAAGAGGGCAGCCAGGCAATAAGCAGCAGGGAGCACCAGGCAGCAAGGAATGGCAAAGCTCAGGCAGGTAGAGGGCTGGAGCCAGTGAGCCAGGCAGGCAAGGTGCTGGGCTACTCAGGAGCCTCTGTGAAGAGGGACTTCTAGAAAGAAAACTCAGTGATAGACCCAGGGCATGCAGGACCTGAGGCTCTAGTGAGGCCCTGAGCCACGTGTGGCTGGAGCCTAGGGACAGGAAGTGGGTGCAGACCTGGTCACAAGGGGCTTCATAAACTGCCTTAAGGGCTTAGAGTAAAGTGCTCGATCTGACTTCTGTTCTAAGAAATCACCCAACTGCTCTGATTTCTGCTAGGCAGTTCAGGTGAGCAGGGAGAGCAGCAAGAAGGTCATCAGAATAACCCAGGTGAGATGACATGGGCGCTTGAATGGCAGCTGTAGCCAAGAAGACAGGAGGAAGCACTTGGGCTTGAGATCCATTTTGAAAGTGCTAACAGATCAGATCTAAGACATGGAAGAAATGCGGAGACCACGCACAAGTTCTGACCCAAACAATTGGAAGAACAGACCTGCCCCCAACTGAGATGTAGCATGTAGAGGCAGATGTCACACAAAGAAAAGTGGTGGTTTGGAGCAGAAAGATCCAGCCTGGAGATACACATTCAGAACATGCTGACATGTGACCTAACAGTCATAGCACAATATGAGATCACCTGAGTGTACAGACCAGAGAGGAAGTCTGAGGACTGCAGGTAAAGGAACAAGCAAAGAGGCTGGGGGGGCGGCAGCCAGCAAGGTAAACGAGAACCAAGAGTGGTATCTTGGTGCCCCGGAGACGAGTCAAAATGTCCATGAGCAGCCCAACACTGCTGATGGGGACTCAGCAAAGTGGTGACACCCATAGGCCCAGAGACACTTGTTTCAGAGGAGAGGTAATACCAAAAGCTTAACGAAGTTGATTCAAGAGAATGAGAAAGCAAGATAATGGGGACAAAGAGTACACGATTCTAACTCTGTATAAAAGAAAGCTAGGACCTAGAAAGGGTCGCTGCAGGGAGTGTATGTTCATGGGGATGCTTTGGAGAGAAATAAACTGACAGGAGGACAAGCACAGGAGAGCCATGGCCTGGAGCAGGCAAGAAAAGGTGGGCTTGATAAAGGAGATGGTCCACAGATCCTACAGCACTACCCCAGTTACTGCATAGAACTTAACGACAGGATTACTTAACTATCTTTTTTAAAGCATATAAAATTACACTATACAATCCCGATTGTAAAAAAAATTACATAGAACAAGGGGCCATAAACAAACTGTAAATTGTGCTTATCTCTGGATGGTAGATGATTTAGAAATTTAAAATGCATTTTAACATTCAAAGAGCATATTTATTAGTTCCACTAAAAAGGTTACAAAAACCATTTTATTGTACATATCATGTAAAAAGTACAACAGGAAATACAAGTAAAAAATAACACTCATCTAAAAATCCAGAGTTGAGCGCTATTAGCATTCTGCTATGCTTTCTCTGATAAGGTCACATCTGGGCAGAGACCACAGAGCCACAGATCTCCATGGGCAAAGTTTCCGGGTGGCGGGGGGTCCAGGCAGCCGCGCAAGTGGGCAGGTAAGGGGCCTAGGTCACAAGCACCCGCCTAAGTCAAAGGCCCTGGGCTTGAATTTGCCCCTGGTGTCCCTCGAGGAGCGGTCTGACAAACCACCTTCCCACCGCATCTGTGTCCACAGTTACGCAGGAGGGGAGGTCCAAGCGGAGAGCCCGCTAGGGGTCGGGGGGATCCCAGCCGCTGGAGGTGGGGGAGGTCTCGAGCCCGCTGAGGGAATCCTAGCCCGCTGGAGATGTACGTAGAAAGGGGTCCCAGCCCACTGGATGTAAGGGGGGCGGGGTTCCTGTCCGCGGGATGTGTGTGGGGTGGGGGTGGATTCCAGCCCGCTAGATGTGTGGGAGGGGGTTCCAGCCCGCTTGAGAAGTCCGCGTTTGGATACCCAGCACCAAACACAGCGCCGCGTTCCCAGCTGACTTTCACGCCAAGAGCTGGAGGGCTACATCGTGCCCGACCCCCACCCCCGCCGCCCCGGTGACCCACAGACCCCGCAGGCCCCGCAGCCTCCGCCGACGCTCACGGCCCCACGCCCCCGGTAAACCCCGCGGCCGCGGCAGACGCGTCCAAGCGCTCCAGGGGGCGGAGCCTCAAAAGGGGGCCGCAGGACCACCACCCACACCCTTCGCCACCCCCGCCACGCCCACCTACCCCGGGCCTGAGCCGCGTCCTGCTGGGGGTGCGGGTCGAGGCTGCGCCACTTCGCTCGACACATCCGGGGCCGCGGGCGCAGGAAGCGGCGGCGCGCCCGCTACGGCGAGCCGGAAGGGACGCGCACAGAGCCGGCAGCTGCGCGTTGGCTACGGGTGTGACGTCGGCGGAGCGGGAGGTGACAAGACGGCCGGGAGGGCTAGAGAGACCATGCGAGGAGGGCGGGCCGATGGGCCGGCTACGGGCCCGGGCGCTGGCGCGCGGAGGCCGACAGGGGGCGCGCAGCGGGCGCGGGCTCTGTGCCCGCAGAAGCTGCCCGCCCGGAGAAGTTGGGGGAGGAGGAGTTCCCCGGGGAGGAGGGTCCCGAGCGGCCCCACCCCTCCTCCTGCACGTTTAGGAGTGGGCGAGGGGAGTCGCCGGGTTTGCACGCCCTGGGCCCCTCCGCAAGGTGCTGGACACCATGTCCACTTGTAAAGGAACGAAGTGGCCCCGGCCCCAGCCCACACGCAAGCGACTCGAGGCGGATGCGGGTCTAAATGTGAGCGGGGATGGTAACAGCCTCAGGGCAGGACGCAGGTGTAAACCTCCACTACCTTGGATTACACAGTGGTTCTTAGGCATGACACCGAAAGTATAAGATCAAAAGAAAGACTACATACCCTGAACATCTTCAACACAAAAAACTTAAGTGCTTCAAATGACACCATTAAGACAACCCACAGAATTGGAGAAAACACCCGATAAGGGACTTGTGTCAGGAAAATGTAAAGAACTTGCAATTCAACAATTAACCTCCAAAGAAGATGAATAAAAAAGCACAGATAAAGCTGTGCAGCATCATCAGGGACCACGGAAATGCACACCAAAACCACAATGAATACCACTTCACACACTAGGATGTCAAGAATCAAGCAGATAATAACAAGTGCTGGGGAGAAGGTGGAGAAATGGGAGCCCTTCTACACTGCTGGTGGGAATGTACAATGATGCAGCCACTTTGAAAAACAGTTTGGCAGTTCTTCAAAACGTTAAACATGGAGTTAAGGTATGACCCAGAAATTCCACTCCTGAGTATAGGCCCAAGAGAATTAAACACAAGTATCTGAACAAAAACCTGTATACAAACATCCTGAGCATTATTCACAATAGCCAAGAAATGGAAACAACCCAAATCCCCTTCAGCTGACAAATGGGTAGATAAAATGTGGCATATCCACATAATGGAATACTACTCGGAAAAGAAAAGGAGGGTTGACCCATGTGACAACATGGATGAACCCTGAAAACATGGTGCTGAGTGAAAGGAGATGACACAAAGGCCACAAAGTGGATAATTCCTTTCATATAAAATGTATAGATCAGCAAATCCATAGAAATGGAAAGTAGATTATCATTAGACAGGAGGGTGGAGGACCACAGCCTTGGAGCAGCATTCGGGGGCCTGAGTGAGAAGTCCCGTTTCATGCCTTCTGTTTCCCATAAAATGAGAGTCAAGCCCATCTGCTGTGAAAGGCAATGGCCCACCCAAGGAGCAAGTGAAACAGTGAGGGAAGTGCCAAGGACCCACTTACAGAGGGCCCCCATGTTTGTGAGGCTGCCAGTGCCTGGATATAGGCTAGGCTGAGGATGTGGTTCTCTTCCAACTCGGGCAAGCTTGCAGGTGGCCAGAGGCTGGAGGAAACAATGCTGGGGGCTTTGCCATGCCAGGGCAACAATGTCAAGTAAGCAGAGTTCTCGAGATGCGGGACTGTGGAATCTAAGCTGGAGGGGCCAGGAGGAAGGATTGCAAGAGAAGAAAGGAGGGGTCATTGGATGGGAGGTGGTGGCACCTCCCGACACAGCAGCTCACAAATAACTGGGGGCGGGCCGCCCCTGGTGGCAACACTGAGCATCATAACAAAGACGGGGGTTTCCCCTCCTGTTCAACTGACAAAAAATTACTGTAAATCCCCAAGTTACAATTTAATTCCCATACACTGGATACTGAGCTCATGTGAGATGATGGGTTTGATGAATCCTTTGCAATGGCTGCTTTGATAAGAGTTTTTCATTTTGATGAGAAATTTATCGAATTTTTCTTTTGTTTAGTGCTTGTTGCATCCTAGGAAATCTTTGCCTACACTGGGCTTGATGGTTTCAGCTTTCATACTTAGGTCTATGACCCATCTGGAATTAACTGAACCATTTTTAAAAGAACATTCTACCTCCAGTTGAATTGCCTGGGTGTTGATTGGCTCCTTCAGTCTTCATCCACCTCCTACTTGCTGACATTAGAGTTAAAAATTACACCTGCCAGACTCCCTCATGGCCAGAGTCCCAGTGAGATGAAGGCCCCCCTTTCCTGCCCCATTTGTTTGAGACAGAAGGTGCCCCCTTCTTCCTGCTGCTCCCAGCTGGCTTGATGCCTGCAAGCCATGTGGATAAATCCAAGTCTTTCCTGCAAGAGAGGTCCAGCGTAGGGTGGCCATCAACTCAGAACCAAGGACAGTGGTGGCTCCTTGCCCTGAACCCCTCACCCTGGGCTGCAGCTCTGGGTGTGTGGGCATAGTGGCAGCTCCAGGCCTTCTTGGGCCCCTGGCTCCAGAGGCAGCATCAGAAACAGGAGCTGCCTTGGTGGGTCCATTCTGTATGGTCTTAGAGTCATTCCAGCAGTTCCAGTCTGAAACCAGATCCTTGAGGCACCCCTCCCTTCCCACCCAATCTATAAGCCACAAATTTCCTATAATGTCTGCATCACTAAACATGCAGTTTGTTTTCAGGACTGGACCATGACACTTGTCCTCTCAGACCTGCCTAACTGCAGTTTCCATACACAGACAATAGATTCTGAATGGCAGATTCACATGCATATCTTCCCCACTGACCAGTGTGGGAATCTGGCCAGGCAGCTGTGTGGCAGGTAGGGTGGCAGCCCCTGAGCTTCTCGCCCATCCAGGACAGGGAGCCCGAGTGGGAACCAACATGTGACTCAGGCAGGCTCTGCTTGCCCACTGTGCCCTTGGGATACACTACTTTCTATTTGAATCAACTAGAGTTGGCATCAGCCCCACTGAGCAGAGCCTGATCCTGACTCTCTATTGCCTTCCACATTCAAAGAAGCATGAGACCCAATAAAAAGCTGGCCCCAAGACCAGGTGCTCCCTGGTGCTCTGGAGAGTGGGGATAAGTACTGTCATACAACATTGGCAGGGATCCAGTTCTGAACCTTGGTGGATGGCAAGAGCTACTGTTAGACAGCCATTAGAAAGCCATCAGAGATCCGACCCTGTGTCTAGGCACACTCACACGTGTGAACAAGGGTGTACAGGGTGGCCGTTTATAAAACCTGAAGGCTGGACAGATGCCTACCAGCAGGATGGGTAGTGCAGTCTACACAATGGGCTGCCTGTGTGGACAGCACAGGTTTTTGTGGCCACATGTATGCTGAGTTGAGAATGGTGAGTCCGCATATATTGTAAGCTGTCATCCTGGTGAAGAGAATTGTCCACCAGGCTCTTCTATGCACAGAGCTCTCTGCAAGAAGCCTGAGAAAACTGCAAGACTAGGGGCCTCTGGAGAGATACCAGGATCTAAGAAGGCAAGCATCTTTTCTATACTTTTTCTCCAAGTACATATCACGTTCCCATGGACCCTCCAAGGTGATTTAAACAGTCGCTCACATTACCTGGGTCATAACTGGGAGCTTCTAGAACAGTAGCCTGATTGGCCCTCCAACCAAGGTGGTGGAGCCTGTCGTGGACAGAGCCCACAGTCCCAGCAGTCATTAGGTTCTGCCCTGAGCAGTGACTCAGCAGCCCTGGCTATCAAAGGGAACATGAACATGCTGAAACCTCTCCCCAAACCCACCCTCCCAATCTCCCCATGTTCATGGCTGCTCATCAACTCCTCAAACCCAAAGCCCAAGTCAGCCTTAAGCCCTCCCTCCTGTCCCCAGCCCACCACAACAGCAAGCCCCACTGCTTCTCTGGCCTCAGCCACCCACTCTGCCCACCACACCTCCCCAGGCCACCACCAGTGTCTTGCGGTCTTCCTGACCTACTCACCCCACCCCATTCTCCACATGGGAACAGTCCCTCAAAGATCCATGCCCAGCCCCATGGTACACACAGGTGCCCATGCACACCCACATGCCCATGCCCATGTCATATATTAAGTACACAGGCACACAAACCACCATACATGTCACATGAATACAGATACACACACCACATGCAAGCACCCATGTGTGCACGTTACCCATGTACGCACACCTCCCTACTGCAGCAGAGTTGCCATTTGCTTGCCCACCACTAGATTCCCCCTTCCTCGCTAAGAGGTCGCTGCTGTTCCACGTACACTGGGAGCCACTTCATGAAAAGCATTTCCATCTCCCTTGCAGCTACAGGGGACTGCATGACTCGCCTCTCTGGCCAATGAGGGAGGGAGATTGCTGGCAGACCTCCTGGGAGAGCATGCTCAGGTACACCCAATGATAGGCCCCTCTTCCTGCCCTCATCCCTCCCATGGGAGGGTGGGAACACTGGGGTGATTGGACCAGGATGAAGGCCATGTGCTGAGTCCAGGTGGACAGAGAGGAAAGCCCCCCATCAGCATCAGGACCACTGCACTGGGCCCAACCACCAGCCTGTTCTTGTCTGGGCCACTAGTTGGGCTTCTGGAAAGGCCTCTCACAGCTGGGACTGCTCTGACCTCAGCCTGCAAGAGCCAAGAAGTGTGTCCTCACCAGGCGCCCACATACTCGCTAGGCCACCTCATTGTGGCTTTTGCGGAGGGGGGCAGCACGGGTGCATCTTCCATCTCTCCAGAACAATGTGAACAAAGGAGCAACTATACAAAGTTTGTACTTATTTAATAAGAAAATCACTTCTTTAAAAAAATAGTGTCTTTACACACTGAGGTGTACATAGCTGACACAAGAGCTGAAAAGAGATTCACGCAGGTTCTCCTGGAGTGAGCATAAAATGATGCAGGTCTCAGGGTCCTGAGGTCTTGAGGCCACACCGAGGCTCTCCCATCTTGGGAAGAGCGTGGCCAAGAGCAGCAATGGCATGCTGCAGGCCAACTCAATTCACCCCAGAGGGCGGCACTTCAGTCGCTGTCTCCGTCCCCTTCGCTGCCTTCCAGGGGGCTGGGGACCTGCAGAACAAGAGCAGACGAGGCGGCTGCGGGGGAGCATGCTGCCCCAAGAAGGGGGCCGTCCACATGGGCTCAGCAGCAGCAGCCTGCCCCATTGGCAACGAGGGGAAGCCTTTGTTCTCAGGCAGACTTCTTGGCTTTCAATCTGGGTCAAGGACCTGGCTTGAGCAGGAAAAGCCAGGGGGTGTTTAGTGGGTATCTTCAAATCCCCAGGGATGCAATGTCCTCAGGGGAGGTAAAACTGGACAAGGGCAGGCTCCTCAGTAGTATGTAAAGATGGCAGATGGTCAGAGCCTCTGATAGTGGGAATCAAGGAGAGGGCAAAGGCTGGCCCCCAGTCGCATATGCTCCATCTGCCATTATTACATATAACCACCAGCATGTAGAGTGGAAGACTTCACATAAAATTCTGGAATGCCAGTTTCTCTTAGAAAAATCTGAGCTCTGACAGCACTGGGCACATCTTTGTGGCCACCACTGACTGTTCTGAGCTACAGAAGCCTTTCAGGTGTAACCAGGGCTCTCCTGTTTGCCAGTATGCCAATCCCGACTGCCTCCCTGCACTGGCTGCCATTTATCACCCGACCTATGCTCCGGCTTTTCTTATACCTGGCTCGCTTCACTTGCTTACCTTACCTGTGTGCACCTGAGTTTACAACCCAGGGATGGAGTAAGGACAATGTTTTTCTGAATATCTAGCCAATGGGAAGAAATCTCCCAGAGCTCCACAGGAGAATCTCACCCTTTAAAAACCTGCTAGGCCACCACAAGAGAACACGGTCTTTGGGGACATCCCTCACCCCCTAAAAAGAACTGAGAACTTCAAACTGCTATCAGCTCCACCGCCTCCAATCACCAATGCTCTGCTCCTAAAATACAGTTGGCAGGTAACTCATGGATGAGCTGCACTTCAGACAGCTCCTTGTGAACCTTTGACAGCAAGCCTAGCAGCCAAGTCTGTGCAGCAGGGCCAAGTGACAGCTGGAACCCAGGACCCAGACTGCCCTCCCTTGCAGATGGTGGGCACTGTGGCCTGGGGGAAAGCTGCCACAATGAATGAAGAGCATCTGGGCACTTCGCCTCAAGGAACCTCATGTTCTGGAGCAGGTTTAACAACAGACACTAAGGAAGCAGCAGTGTCAGCCCAACGACGCCCCACTGTCCTCTCCCCCTCACAAACGGGAAGACAAGCTACTGAGCGTGTCCTTTGCCCAATATCACCAAGTGCCGAGCAGGAAGCGAGTGCAAGGCAGTGTTTTGGGGTCACCAGCCACCCAGTCTAAGGCCCTGGCCAGCTCCTCCCTCTGCTGTGGAACCTGTAGGGTGGGGTGCACATTCTGAGCTTCAGCTTGTTCATCTCTGCAATGGGCACCACAACGCCAGTGCAGAGTGGGTTAGCAGCTCAGCCACAGACAGGGCAGATGCAGGCACACACTTGGCAAGCTCCTTGGAAGGGCCCGTGCCAGCCCCTAGCCCCACCTTGGCATCGGGGCCAGCTGCCGCATGAGCAGTGGCACTGAAGTCGTGCATGGGCAGGGTGCTCAGCCACAGGGCCATGGACCGCTCATGGTGCTCGGTACTGATGATCGTGGGGTAGATGTGCTGCTCCTTGAAGGCAGTGACCTCTGCCTCCTCGCGTGCCCAGTCCAGAGGCTCATGCAACCCGTCACAGCCAAAGCGCTGGTTGTACTTCTCGAAGTGCACGCGCTCCAGGACAAGGCCCAGCCCTGGTGCCTTGGGTACATCCACTTTTGCCTCCCCCCAGCTGCGCTCCAGCACGCTCTCAGGTGCGTAGCCCTTGACGATGGCTACCACCAGGCCAACCATCTTCCTGATCTGGTGCGTCATGAAACTCTGCCCCTTCACCTTGATCACTGCAAACTCCATGCCCTCACGCACGAAGGGCTCCTCACAAAACATGTCCAGGATGTAGCGCCGGGCACTGGGCTCCTGAGGCCCCTTCTGCGAGGTGAAGTTGTGGAAGTTGTGCGTGCCCTTATAGCAGGCAAGGAGCCGGTTCACGTGCTGCAGAGTTTCTGCACTCAGCCGGTATGTCTCATCCTGCAAATCATGGTCCTTGTGGGCAAAGGCAAATGTGGGCAGCATATAGAAGTAGGTCCTGGCGTCACATTTGTTCTTAGAGTTGAAGCCGCCTGTGACTCGCTTCACTCCTGCAGAGAGGCAGCAAATGAGGAGAAAGGCCTGTGAAGCCCACAGCACCCAGCCCAGGTCTGAGTGCTGGCACCACGCCTCCCAAACACGGGCAGGTCCTAGCGAGACCCACTCTTGGGCACTAAACCTTAAACCCCCCAGATGCTTCATCACAGAATTAAACAAACCCATACAACATAAACATCAGCATTTGTTGAAACCCAAGGTTAGAGAAGGTAGAGGGAAACGTACGCCTGCCCTGCACTGACCCTGGACGTGGATGGGCACAGCCATCTCCGGAGGAGCCTTGCTTCAGACCAGAGCCTAACTCTGGCCCGACCTGCTCATTAGCACTTATTCTACAGAGAGGCCACAGAGGCAGCAGTGTGTTCAACAGCCCTAAGTGGAAACTGAGTCCAGCGACAGAAAAGTAATGAGATACACTCTAGAATGTGCACAGGATGAGATGGCAAGTCTCCAGGTACCACAGCTCTCTCCTCTGAGAAACTGAGTGAGTTCAGGCTAACAGCAATGATATAATAATTATACTCAATAAACAGTGTACTAGGTCTTCTTCACAGGATAAAGAACTACATGCAGGGGATTCCATTCATGAGAAACACGGGAACAAATGTGTACTGGGTACTGGTACAGGAAATTTCTGGCAGAATTGCAGGACTATTAGGGGGAAGGCTTCCAAGAAGCACAGCTTCTGTCCCTGTACATCCTACGCTGGCAAGTCTCGCTGGGCAGTGGGTGAGGTCCTGGCCAGGACAGCAGGTCCACCCATGCTACAAGGATTCAACCTCACAGGGAGTCTGACTTAGGGCCCAACTTTGGTTTCCTACTTATGAGGGTCCTGGGCCCTTGCAAACAGCCAGGCATCTCCAGGCAGTGCCCATTCCACCTGGGGTGGTGAGTCAAGGCCATGGTAATCTTGGGAGCATCTGCATTAAGCTCCTTGTTTTGCTTCTACCGTCATGTTTGATTTGGGGATAATTTCATTAACATTGAGCATCACGCGTACACTTTGTGTGCATCACCTCAGTTATGCCAACATCACAGCTACAGAAAAGCTGACAGGTGCTGGCAGGAGCCTTGTCACTGCCAGAAACAAGAGCTACTGTCCTGGTCACATGCCAGAAGTGGTGCTGACTTTGGAAATAATCGTCCGTGGGGTGTACTGCTATCTCAGCAAAGCTGGAGAATAATCTGTGGGATCTAAAATATCTCCCTGGGAACAAACGGTAAGAGCCATCAGACAGGACTTGGAGAGGATTTAGTCAAGAGGGAATTTTCCTCATGAGGCAAAGGAAGACCACAGTCTAATAAAAATAAAACTATTACACTAAAAATAAACTTCATAGTGGGCTAAGTCATCAGCAAAGGCTACTGGCTTTGCATTAAGAATTTTACTCAAGACCTGTGCCAAGTGTTCATAACAGCTTTATTTGTTATAGCCCCAAACTGGAAACACCCATGCCCCTCAGCAGGTAGACAGATAAACAACTTATGGTGCACCCATAGAACAGGATACCATGCAGCAATGAGGAGCAGACTGGAAACACAAGCAGTACAACTCAGTGAAAGAAGCCAGGCAGAGAAAAATATGCTTACATAAAACTCTGAAAATACAAACCAAGCTAGAAGCAGAAAGCAGACCAGTGGGGCCTGGTGGGAAAGGTGGGGTGGGTCACAACCTTTGGGGTGTGGGAGGGGTTCACTGTCCTAACAGATGGCTTCACAGATGTACATGTATAGCAGAACTTCGCAATTATATGCTTAAATATGCAGTTTATTATACATCAATTACACTTAATTTTTAAGAAGCTTTAAAGTATTTTACCTGGCTATTTAAGAAAAGAATAATAATGTAGTATGGGGTTTGGAACCTAAGTTGATGTAAAGTGTATGTTCACCATACATCAAAGGCGAAGGGCGATGTGATGTTTTACTATATGGCCTTCCTCAGAAAAAGTGTGCCAACCATTGCTTTAAACCCCTAACTAAACTAACACAACTAAACAACCACAGCAAGTTACAGCTAACAAGGCAACCATTAACAAGGTGATAATTAAATGCAATTACAACAGCAGACAGGAGGGCCCATGCTGGCCACCAACTCCACGGCAGATACAACAGGATTAAAATGAGAAGACCTCGAAGCCCACTTATCAGGCCTGTCATAAAAAGCAGTGTTGCAGCCTTCACTTCACCAGACCTGGACTTTTGTATCCAGTGTTTGGTTAAGCCAAGGCCCGCAAAGCACCAGGGCACTGCAAGGAGGCTTTCCAGGCTGTGTGCCCAGTGGAGTCCCTCTGGGAAGAGGCAGGACCTCAGCCCACCTGGAAAAGATGGCCTGACCACCAGCCGCCAACCAGCTCCTGTGGTGGGAACATGGTAAGAGCCAGCCAGCGCATGCGAGCGCAGCCCCCACCTCTGGACTGCCAGGCTTACCCAGTATCCGAATGTGAGATGGGAGGTGGCTGTTGATCTTTTCTAAAATGCCATCAATCAGCCACACCTTCAGGGACACCACCTGGCCAGCCGCAGACACGCCCTGCAAAGGAAGCAGAACAGGCGGGAGGGCCGGCTGGGCCTTGCTCTGCAAGCAGGTGTCGGCCAGGGAGCATGCAGCTGCCCAGCCCTTCACTAGGAATCTGCTTTAGAAAGGTATCTACAGTTGATGGCCAGCCCCAGAATGCTCTGGGTGAGCTGTGTGGTAAGTTACAGTGAGCATGGGGTGACCTGTAAAACATTACAAATGATGTCATACCCAACAGACAGATATAGGAATAGATGCATGATATTATGCAGACAAGAAGTCAAGTCCCACCTTGGGTGTGACCCTCAGCAAATTGAGAAAAAAGAAAATGCTACCCCAGATGCCGGAAATCTGAGGCCAGCACAGGAGAGCATGGCAGACACCCGTGTTTGCAGTTTTGCTATCCACGGTTTGTTGTGCTTCCACCTTGCAATTGCCTGTCTTAGTGGACACTTGTGTGCACCTTTCTGTGAACTACACAAATATAGAGAGCAAACCCTTCAAAGAAACACAACTTCATTGCTGTGGAATATACGTTGTTCGCTGTCTCCGTCCCCTTCGCTGCCTTCCAGGGGGCTGGGGACCTGCAGAACAAGAGCAGACGAGGCGGCTGCGGGGGAGCATGCTGCCCCAAGAAGGGGGCCGTCCACATGGGCTCAGCAGCAGCAGCCTGCCCCATTGGCAACGAGGGGAAGCCTTTGTTCTCAGGCAGACTTCTTGGCTTTCAATCTGGGTCAAGGACCTGGCTTGAGCAGGAAAAGCCAGGGGGTGTTTAGTGGGTGTCTTCAAATCCCCAGGGATGCAATGTCCTCAGGGGAGGTAAAACTGGACAAGGGCAGGCTCCTCAGTAGTATGTAAAGATGGCAGATGGTCAGAGCCTCTGATAGTGGGAATCAAGGAGAGGGCAAAGGCTGGCCCCCAGTCGCATATGCTCCATCTGCCATTATTACATATAACCACCAGCATGTAGAGTGGAAGACTTCACATAAAATTCTGGAATGCCAGTTTCTCTTAGAAAAATCTGAGCTCTGACAGCACTGGGCACATCTTTGTGGCCACCACTGACTGTTCTGAGCTACAGAAGCCTTTCAGGTGTAACCAGGGCTCTCCTGTTTGCCAGTATGCCAATCCCGACTGCCTCCCTGCACTGGCTGCCATTTATCACCCGACCTATGCTCCGGCTTTTCTTATACCTGGCTCGCTTCACTTGCTTACCTTACCTGTGTGCACCTGAGTTTACAACCCAGGGATGGAGTAAGGACAATGTTTTTCTGAATATCTAGCCAATGGGAAGAAATCTCCCAGAGCTCCACAGGAGAATCTCACCCTTTAAAAACCTGCTAGGCCACCACAAGAGAACACGGTCTTTGGGGACATCCCTCACCCCCTAAAAAGAACTGAGAACTTCAAACTGCTATCAGCTCCACCGCCTCCAATCACCAATGCTCTGCTCCTAAAATACAGTTGGCAGGTAACTCATGGATGAGCTGCACTTCAGACAGCTCCTTGTGAACCTTTGACAGCAAGCCTAGCAGCCAAGTCTGTGCAGCAGGGCCAAGTGACAGCTGGAACCCAGGACCCAGACTGCCCTCCCTTGCAGATGGTGGGCACTGTGGCCTGGGGGAAAGCTGCCACAATGAATGAAGAGCATCTGGGCACTTCGCCTCAAGGAACCTCATGTTCTGGAGCAGGTTTAACAACAGACACTAAGGAAGCAGCAGTGTCAGCCCAACGACGCCCCACTGTCCTCTCCCCCTCACAAACGGGAAGACAAGCTACTGAGCGTGTCCTTTGCCCAATATCACCAAGTGCCGAGCAGGAAGCGAGTGCAAGGCAGTGTTTTGGGGTCACCAGCCACCCAGTCTAAGGCCCTGGCCAGCTCCTCCCTCTGCTGTGGAACCTGTAGGGTGGGGTGCACATTCTGAGCTTCAGCTTGTTCATCTCTGCAATGGGCACCACAACGCCAGTGCAGAGTGGGTTAGCAGCTCAGCCACAGACAGGGCAGATGCAGGCACACACTTGGCAAGCTCCTTGGAAGGGCCCGTGCCAGCCCCTAGCCCCACCTTGGCATCGGGGCCAGCTGCCGCATGAGCAGTGGCACTGAAGTCGTGCATGGGCAGGGTGCTCAGCCACAGGGCCATGGACCGCTCATGGTGCTCGGTACTGATGATCGTGGGGTAGATGTGCTGCTCCTTGAAGGCAGTGACCTCTGCCTCCTCGCGTGCCCAGTCCAGAGGCTCATGCAACCCGTCACAGCCAAAGCGCTGGTTGTACTTCTCGAAGTGCACGCGCTCCAGGACAAGGCCCAGCCCTGGTGCCTTGGGTACATCCACTTTTGCCTCCCCCCAGCTGCGCTCCAGCACGCTCTCAGGTGCGTAGCCCTTGACGATGGCTACCACCAGGCCAACCATCTTCCTGATCTGGTGCGTCATGAAACTCTGCCCCTTCACCTTGATCACTGCAAACTCCATGCCCTCACGCACGAAGGGCTCCTCACAAAACATGTCCAGGATGTAGCGCCGGGCACTGGGCTCCTGAGGCCCCTTCTGCGAGGTGAAGTTGTGGAAGTTGTGCGTGCCCTTATAGCAGGCAAGGAGCCGGTTCACGTGCTGCAGAGTTTCTGCACTCAGCCGGTATGTCTCATCCTGCAAATCATGGTCCTTGTGGGCAAAGGCAAATGTGGGCAGCATATAGAAGTAGGTCCTGGCGTCACATTTGTTCTTAGAGTTGAAGCCGCCTGTGACTCGCTTCACTCCTGCAGAGAGGCAGCAAATGAGGAGAAAGGCCTGTGAAGCCCACAGCACCCAGCCCAGGTCTGAGTGCTGGCACCACGCCTCCCAAACACGGGCAGGTCCTAGCGAGACCCACTCTTGGGCACTAAACCTTAAACCCCCCAGATGCTTCATCACAGAATTAAACAAACCCATACAACATAAACATCAGCATTTGTTGAAACCCAAGGTTAGAGAAGGTAGAGGGAAACGTACGCCTGCCCTGCACTGACCCTGGACGTGGATGGGCACAGCCATCTCCGGAGGAGCCTTGCTTCAGACCAGAGCCTAACTCTGGCCCGACCTGCTCATTAGCACTTATTCTACAGAGAGGCCACAGAGGCAGCAGTGTGTTCAACAGCCCTAAGTGGAAACTGAGTCCAGCGACAGAAAAGTAATGAGATACACTCTAGAATGTGCACAGGATGAGATGGCAAGTCTCCAGGTACCACAGCTCTCTCCTCTGAGAAACTGAGTGAGTTCAGGCTAACAGCAATGATATAATAATTATACTCAATAAACAGTGTACTAGGTCTTCTTCACAGGATAAAGAACTACATGCAGGGGATTCCATTCATGAGAAACACGGGAACAAATGTGTACTGGGTACTGGTACAGGAAATTTCTGGCAGAATTGCAGGACTATTAGGGGGAAGGCTTCCAAGAAGCACAGCTTCTGTCCCTGTACATCCTACGCTGGCAAGTCTCGCTGGGCAGTGGGTGAGGTCCTGGCCAGGACAGCAGGTCCACCCATGCTACAAGGATTCAACCTCACAGGGAGTCTGACTTAGGGCCCAACTTTGGTTTCCTACTTATGAGGGTCCTGGGCCCTTGCAAGCAGCCAGGCATCTCCAGGCAGTGCCCATTCCGCCTGGGGTGGTGAGTCAAGGCCATGGTAATCTTGGGAGCATCTGCATTAAGCTCCTTGTTTTGCTTCTACCGTCATGTTTGATTTGGGGATAATTTCATTAACATTGAGCATCACGCGTACACTTTGTGTGCATCACCTCAGTTATGCCAACATCACAGCTACAGAAAAGCTGACAGGTGCTGGCAGGAGCCTTGTCACTGCCAGAAACAAGAGCTACTGTCCTGGTCACATGCCAGAAGTGGTGCTGACTTTGGAAATAATCGTCCGTGGGGTGTACTGCTATCTCAGCAAAGCTGGAGAATAATCTGTGGGATCTAAAATATCTCCCTGGGAACAAACGGTAAGAGCCATCAGACAGGACTTGGAGAGGATTTAGTCAAGAGGGAATTTTCCTCATGAGGCAAAGGAAGACCACAGTCTAATAAAAATAAAACTATTACACTAAAAATAAACTTCATAGTGGGCTAAGTCATCAGCAAAGGCTACTGGCTTTGCATTAAGAATTTTACTCAAGACCTGTGCCAAGTGTTCATAACAGCTTTATTTGTTATAGCCCCAAACTGGAAACACCCATGCCCCTCAGCAGGTAGACAGATAAACAACTTATGGTGCACCCATAGAACAGGATACCATGCAGCAATGAGGAGCAGACTGGAAACACAAGCAGTACAACTCAGTGAAAGAAGCCAGGCAGAGAAAAATATGCTTACATAAAACTCTGAAAATACAAACCAAGCTAGAAGCAGAAAGCAGACCAGTGGGGCCTGGTGGGAAAGGTGGGGTGGGTCACAACCTTTGGGGTGTGGGAGGGGTTCACTGTCCTAACAGATGGCTTCACAGATGTACATGTATAGCAGAACTTCGCAATTATATGCTTAAATATGCAGTTTATTATACATCAATTACACTTAATTTTTAAGAAGCTTTAAAGTATTTTACCTGGCTATTTAAGAAAAGAATAATAATGTAGTATGGGGTTTGGAACCTAAGTTGATGTAAAGTGTATGTTCACCATACATCAAAGGCGAAGGGCGATGTGATGTTTTACTATATGGCCTTCCTCAGAAAAAGTGTGCCAACCATTGCTTTAAACCCCTAACTAAACTAACACAACTAAACAACCACAGCAAGTTACAGCTAACAAGGCAACCATTAACAAGGTGATAATTAAATGCAATTACAACAGCAGACAGGAGGGCCCATGCTGGCCACCAACTCCACGGCAGATACAACAGGATTAAAATGAGAAGACCTCGAAGCCCACTTATCAGGCCTGTCATAAAAAGCAGTGTTGCAGCCTTCACTTCACCAGACCTGGACTTTTGTATCCAGTGTTTGGTTAAGCCAAGGCCCGCAAAGCACCAGGGCACTGCAAGGAGGCTTTCCAGGCTGTGTGCCCAGTGGAGTCCCTCTGGGAAGAGGCAGGACCTCAGCCCACCTGGAAAAGATGGCCTGACCACCAGCCGCCAACCAGCTCCTGTGGTGGGAACATGGTAAGAGCCAGCCAGCGCATGCGAGCGCAGCCCCCACCTCTGGACTGCCAGGCTTACCCAGTATCCGAATGTGAGATGGGAGGTGGCTGTTGATCTTTTCTAAAATGCCATCAATCAGCCACACCTTCAGGGACACCACCTGGCCAGCCGCAGACACGCCCTGCAAAGGAAGCAGAACAGGCGGGAGGGCCGGCTGGGCCTTGCTCTGCAAGCAGGTGTCGGCCAGGGAGCATGCAGCTGCCCAGCCCTTCACTAGGAATCTGCTTTAGAAAGGTATCTACAGTTGATGGCCAGCCCCAGAATGCTCTGGGTGAGCTGTGTGGTAAGTTACAGTGAGCATGGGGTGACCTGTAAAACATTACAAATGATGTCATACCCAACAGACAGATATAGGAATAGATGCATGATATTATGCAGACAAGAAGTCAAGTCCCACCTTGGGTGTGACCCTCAGCAAATTGAGAAAAAAGAAAATGCTACCCCAGATGCCGGAAATCTGAGGCCAGCACAGGAGAGCATGGCAGACACCCGTGTTTGCAGTTTTGCTATCCACGGTTTGTTGTGCTTCCACCTTGCAATTGCCTGTCTTAGTGGACACTTGTGTGCACCTTTCTGTGAACTACACAAATATAGAGAGCAAACCCTTCAAAGAAACACAACTTCATTGCTGTGGAATATACGTTGTTCACTCCCTTGTCCTGGGACTTCTGAAGGCCTGAAATTTTTCCAAATAAAAAATTGTAGAGTACAGAGGAAGACAGACAAAAAATAACTGGGAGAGATGTTACAGAGGCCAAATCCACCACTCCCGAGACCTACACCCTTCTATAGAGGCATTGAGGGCATCTGACAGGCCGTTTTGGAGCAAGGTGGAGCAAGGTTATGGAACGAGTTTCATAGTATAACCTAGACTTTTTTTTAAATAAAATAGGGTAAGAAATGTTATTACTATTATTCATAGTAAAAGTTATCACAACAGCTGGTGAGGTTGGGCATTGTTCTCTTAAACTTGCTTTAAGTAGATACTCTGGGAAATACACAATGGATTGCAAAGATTTAGTGCAAAAAAAAGGAGCAGCACATCTACCCCACGATCATCAGTACCGAGCACCACAAGCGGTCCATGGCCCTGAGGCTGAGCACCCTGCTCATGCACGACTTCAGTGCCACTGCTCATGCGGCAGCTGGCCCCAGTGCCAAGGTGGGGCTGGGGGCTGGCACAACTGTGAAAACATTAGAATCCACTAAATTGTACGGTCAACAGGCAAATTGTATGGGAGTTAATTATATCTCAACTAAATCTATTTTTTTTTTAATAATCTGAAACAAACTAACATGTTATCATTTGTTTGTCTGAGGGGCTGAATATGCATGGGTGCTGACCAGTGACCAAGCCAGGACACATGCGCAAGCCAGTCGGACTGGACTCAACCTATAAATCTGAGTGGACAGTGCTGGGCCACACCTAGCCACAGCTCCCGAGTCCACGAGATGCAGGTAGCTGTGGCATGCTCAATGTGGCACACACACTGGTGTGTACTTGCACGCAGTACACACATGCAAAGAATGGGAAATATATCCCATGAGTCATTTTTTATATTGATTACATGCCGAAACAAGACAGTTCCGGGTATACTGAGTTAAATGAAGTTGATTACTAAAACCAGTTTCACCTGTTTCACTTTCCCCTTTGCAAAACTTAACATTTCAAGTGTGGCTTGCCGTGGCGGCTTCGTGATCAGCGAGCCTGAGGTGGATGAACATAAAGCAGGAGATGCTGTGGCCACCATCCTACCTGTAGGGGCAACAGAGGAGAAAGTCCTACCAGCAGAGAGCACCTGGGCCCAGTCTTACCTGGGCTGGACATGCTCTTGAACATCTTAGTTACACGAGGTAACAATGTTACCTTCATCCACTTAGGCTGGTCTGATGTGTTCATCTACCATTTGTAACTAAGAGTCTTGACAAATAAAGACACTCAGGTGGACGTGGGACAAGGGCAGTCAGACACAACACAGACCAGGAGGTTCAGGTGCGCCTCACACCTGCAGCTGGTGGAGATGGCCCTACCTTGTCTGTCCGGGCGCACCTCTGGAAGGACATCTTCCTCATGTCTTCGCCATGATTCTCTGGAATACAGCCTGACCGCACCAGGGCACACACCAGGTCATCTTCGATGGTCTTGAACTGTGAGGACCCAACATTCCTCTGAGGGAAAGAGAAGAAAACAACTGTTTTCACTCCACTGGTGCCCACCAGCGGGGGCCTGGGCTCGTGCTGCTGCCCCAGGGAGCCTACACCTGTGACTGTGGGGACCCACTGCAGCGCTTCCCATTCCAGGGCAAATGGGAAAGCTAACTGAGGGCACCCACAGTCGAGAAGCTTCCTATCTGGGCAGCCAACAGCAGCTGTCACCTGAGACATCATTTCCTCCCACCTAGTCAAATCTGAACCCCTCCTGTGGGTCCCATTGCCTCAGCGGGAACCCCCACATACTGCTAACAGGGACGGGTTTGGCATCCTGGCTTTTCCTGTAGCCTCCAGCCTAGGGGCCCGGCCTGACCAGCCTCTCAGGAACAGCGCATACTGGGAGACTGGAACTCCTCTGGAAACCCCTCCCCCATGTGATCCCTCCTGGCTTACCCTCACCGTGGTCAAGGGCCCACAGGACCCTGACCTCAGGGAGACCACCCTCCCGGTCATCCTCAACAGAAGCCTTTCCCACACAAGGGGCACAAGACTGGCAGCACCTCACCAAGACTCACTGCACCCAGTGCAGGGCCTACCCTCAAGCCCTCATTCTCATTTGGGACAGTCATGTGGCCCCTTGAAGTGATGGGGGGGCACAGAAGGGGGCAGGGCTGGGCTGAGGGGTGGAGGCCACAAAGCAGCAGAGGCAATCTGTCTGACTCTGCCAGGACTTGGAGCTAAGAAGTGATGCAATGTTCCCCAACTGCTGTCATAATCTACCAGTGGTTATGGAACCAGTTTCATGGTATAACCTAGACTTTAAATAAAAATAAAATTGGATAAGAAGTATGTTATTACTATTACTCATAGTAAAAGTTATCACAACACCTGGTGAGGTTAGGCATTGTTCTCTTAAACTTGCTTTAAGTAGATACTCTACACATCAGTGAGCATCTTACTGTGAGGCAAGAAGTTGTAAGAACTTGGAACCAAAGTTTAAGAGCCACAGAGTCGACTTGGAGGAGCAAGAATAAAGTCTACCTGCACCTGTGGGGCACTGAGGTCCTCTGCCTTTCGAAAAAGGACCAAGCTGGTGGGTAGGGTGGAGAAATCTGCCTTCCCACAGATGGTAGCTGTAATGACCTGGACACACAGTGAGCGGCCTCCTTTGAGCTTCCCAGCTCTGTCCACTGTTCTTGGTGCACAGCTCCGGGAAACCTAGCAACCTGGCATGCCCTGCAGCTGGTGCTGTGGCCACCCCACCTTAAAAGGGTGCTTCCATTGCTTGCCCGGGGCCACATGCTGGACAGCAGCAGAGCCGGTGATGCAGGAGCCCCCGCACAGCATTGGGTGCCCACAAAGCAAGGCAGAGCTGCCTGGATTCCAATCTAAATCTTGCTTGATGCTGAGGTCCTGGTTTCTGGCCTCACTGGTTGATCGTCACTCCTAAATCCATCCCCAGAGTCACACAGTGGTTTTAAGAAATCAGACCTGACTGAGATCAGGCCCCCAACACCCCAAGGGCCCCTCATCTGAACACTAGGCCCCCCACCTGCATGCCATGGTAGCCCTTCCCGGAATAGGCCAGAAGCAACACAATCTTCCGCTTGGGCAGCTTCCTGTGCGGCTCCCCATCTGCGCTGCTCTTGAGCTTCTTCGCCTGTTGCTCTGGTTCCTCCCAGGCCCGAGCCCGGCCCTGCCAGCCGCTAGGGGACTTCCTATCCTGCTCCTGCCTGGTGCTCATTGGCACAGGAGCCTTTCCGTTCCCGGCCATGGGGGGCAAACTGAAAAGACAGGGCGGGGTGAACTGCGTGGAAGCGCAGGTGAAGGAATGAGGGGTGACTCTTTCGGGGCTGGGGAATCACTGGAGTTGACCCCAGAGCTGATTCCAGCCCAGGCTTACTGAGATCCTGCCCACCAGAGACCTGCGCCAGGGTCGCCAAGGAAGGGGCAGACAGCACCTCCCGTGGACAGAGGGTATCCTTGCGGGCAGGGGCACCCGAGTGGGCAGGCAGCACCTCCGGTGAGTCGGTGAGTAGGCCTGCGCTGCGCCACCACACGGGGCTAGGGGGCCGAGGGCAGGAGGTCATTACCAGAAGCGATACGGTCCCGGGCGCGGGATCCACGCTCCGCAGGCTTTCCTCAGGGCCCCAGCAGCCGCCCGCAGGCTGGGGAGCCCCATGCACCGCCCGGGGCGCGAGGGTCCCTGGAACCCCCGACCCTCCCTGCAGATCCTTGACTTACACGGAACCCCACGCTCCGTCCCCAACCCGCCTGGACTCGGAGCTCCTGCCCCGCCCGCGGCTAACCTCCGACGTCCCCTGACCCCCGGGGTGACCTCTGACCTCCCCAGTCCCTCCTGCTGCCCCTCGTTCTCCCGCCCCGTCCTGCCGGCTTTCCCTGAGGAGTCAGGGAGACCCAACCACTCTGCCGGGACCAGAGGGGTGCGCCCCGGCCCGGCCCCACTCACGGCGCAGTAGACTGAGCGGACCTGGACCACGTGGGCGAAAACGGAAATGGAGGGCGCGACCAGACGGTGGCCGGGCGCGGACAAAAGTCCTTCTGGGCGGGGCCTAGCGGCGAGCGTGAGGCGGGGCAGGGCTTCTCGCAGCGCCCCTGACTTGCGGGCTATTCTACGCCGGCGCGCGCTCCCCGGCTCGTCCAACCCCCTGGAGCTGGCCCTCAGGAGCGGGTTCCAGCGCTCGGATTTGGCTTTGGCCCGCCGGCAGCCAGCGCCTCCCAGGCGTCCATGTCACAGGTCACAGGTCAGCCGAATTAAAGTGTATGTGCGAGCCGGGTCCTGCCGAGCCACTCCCCACGTCTTAGCCGAGTTAGTCCCCTGGCCCTTGAGTGGGGTTCTGTCGCCCCACTCTACACGTGGAACGCTGAGGCCCACAGAAAGAGAGCGCCGCGCAGCGCTAGTGATCCTGTGCCAGAACGTGTAGTAGTGGGTGCTGTCCAGGGACGGGGAGGGCAGGAAGTGGGGCTGGAGGCACAGAGGGCAGGGATGGCTGGGGTCTGAAGGGAGAGGGAAAGGAGCTGGAGGGACACGGAGGGCAAGGACAGGAGCTGGAGGGACAGGGATGGGGGCACAAGCCAACAGGTCTTGGGGGAACACTAGACAAAACCCATCCAGAATCAATGGGAAACTGTAAAGTAGTAAATGCCATGAGACGAGTGAGAAGCCTGACACACGCCACAACACTCATGAGCCTTGGCGTGGTGCTCAGTGAGAGAAGCCAGGTGCAGGCTGCTCAGTGTGGTGGTGCTCCTGTGAGATGTCCAGGACTCATAAGTCCACCCAGGAGGGTGACCAAGCTGCACTCTGGTCCTTGGGGTGCCAGTCAGGCCAGACTGAAAAAGGGCTCCTGCAAGTGGGAAGGGGCAACTTGCCTGTGTCCCCCCACAGCAGGTCAGCCCCCTGGCTGAGCAAGAACAAGGTTGGGTGGCACCTAGTGAGGCAGATGGCTCAGCAGTGCAAGCAAGCACCTACCTTCAGAGGGCACCACCCTTCCCTGCCCTCAGCCCTGTCCTGGGACATGCCCTTTTCTGGTCCTGGGGACAGGACAGGCTGAGAGGCTGGACATGAAGGACAGAGCAAATGTGGCTGCCTTGGTGGGTACAGTAACTAGGCATTGAGAGTCTGGCTCGATCTTGGGGGTGCTCCTGGGAGCACAATGCCAGTCTCCTCTGATGTGGACCTTAAGTTCTCAAGCCTAACAGTAACAGATCCAGGCCCAAAGGCCTATGCTGTACTAAGCCCAGCCCCTGATAGAGGCGACCCAGGGTCCTGGTGAGGGTCAGGTGGGCAGGAGGTAAGCACCCTGACAGACAAGAACTGCCCTGAGGTGAAAGGGCCAGCACACCCAGGAGGCTCCCTGCAACCCGCTATGTGAGGTGGACACACCTGCTCTCTCAGACCCCACCTGCCACAGGGGTGCTCCTGCATCTATGAGGGTGAGCAGAGGCCTATGGGGTTGGGACACATGTCAGGGAACTGCTAGTTGAGGTGGCAGGTGCATTCCCCCAATCCAAGGCCTCCGCAGGCCTGGGCCTGCCACGAATGTACCAGAATCCCCGGGAGTGTGAGGTCCTCAGACAGTAAGGTGGAAGCCAGCCCCTCCCACATGGTCACTGTACTCCCCACCCATCCCCTGGGCCTGCAACTTACCACTAGACTTCTGCAAAGGGATGATATTTATAGCAGCTTTATTCATAACTGCAAAAGCTTGTAAACACCCAGATGTCCCTCAGTAGGTGGATGGATAAACTGTGGCACATCCTGACAGTGACATACTATCCAGCACTGGAAATGAGCTGTCACACCATAAAAACGCAAAGGAATCTTACATGCCTATTACTAAGTGAAAGAAGCCATCTAAAAAGGTTATAGGATTCCAGCTGTGGCGTTCTGGAAAAAGCAAAAGTATGGAGACAGAAGATCTGTGATTACCAGGAGTTGGGGGTAGGGGCTGAGCAAGTGAAATAGGGGTTACAGTGCCAGAAAACTCTCTGTGGTACTGTGGTGGTGGATACGCATCAGACAAGAGTGAACCCTAGCGAAAACCTCGGATTCTGGGTTAGTATAGGCTCATCAATTGCAGCTTCTGTGCTCCACCAACACAAGTTATTGATGGGAAACGGGGATGGCGGGGTGAGGGGAGGAAGGTGTATGGGAACTCTTTACTTTTTGCACAGTTTTTCTGCAAACCTAAACCTGCTGTGAAAAGTGAAGTCTATCAATTTAGTGATGACAAAATACCATGGACATTTTAGCATGTCCAGAGTGGACAGGGTGCCATCTCCCGACCAGCCTTCCTGTCTGCAAAGGAGCACATGCAATACAGGAAGCCAGGCCCCACCTTCTACTTCCTCCAATGCCACTCCAACTTTTGTGTAATATTGCGGTTAGTCTTAGGTAACAATGAGTTATTTTTAACTTACAAAAATAACATGTAGTTTTAAAAATATAAACTCTACAGCAACAATAAAATGAGAAGCCACCCAATCCAAACATGGGCAAAAAGACTGGACGGACATCTCTCCAAAGGACTTAGAAATGACCAGCAAGCACGACATGGCTTGAGGCCAGTAATCACAGGAACATGCACATGAGAACCACTGCAAGGACCCCTGCACCCACCAGATGGCTAGACTCAAGCTGCAGGATGGTAAGAGTCAGGTGCAGAGAAGTGGGTGTCCTGCACTGTGGGCAGGACTGACGTGGTCCAGCTGCTGCAACCTGGTGCTGGTTCCTCCAAGAGATACGGAGTCACCATGTCACCTGGGTTCCCTCTGGGAACAGATGGTATTCCTGAGGGCCCAGGAGAACAGATTCCACTGGGACATAGGCCAGACCCAACTGTGCTGCAGGTGGAGGCACCCAAGCTTAGCCCACTGTGCGAGGGGTGGGGGTGGCAATGCCAACTCGACAATTCCAAAGGTTTATTTCCTTAAATCGGGATTACACAATAATGCAAATGGGGAGAAAATCACACAAAATTCCTTTTCAGGTAGACCAAGTGTCAAGTGCAGTGTTGTGAAGAATGGGGTCAGTTGGTGGCTTGGGCACATGGCACCACAGAATGGGCATGGGAAGCTGCCCATGGCGCCAGCCTCCCAGCAGCCCTGAATTCCAGCCAACCATATGCAATAAACAGGAACACATTGCATGTAGCAAGGAAAAAATAGTCACTAGGTGATGAGGAAAGAAACAGGTCCTGGGCAACTTCTAAGTCCAAGCACAGTGATAACATTCCAAGTGTGACAGACATGTACAGATCTTCATGCCTGTGGTCTAAGACCCTAAACCCCTTACCAGGGATGCCTGGACTGGCCAGGAGCTTCTCCTGCACCTTGCGGACACATTCAAGGGGCCAAGTCAGAGCCGGGTGGACAGGGAAGGCCCCTTGCACCTGGAAGGCTTGGCTCCCCACAGACCCCCTTGATGTTAGCTAGGACCTGCCTGGGACACCCACTGACATCCAAACCTACTGTGAATGCTGTGGGGAGGCTTTTGCACAAATGCCCCCTCATCTGCCCACCATCACCAGAGATGGGGGGCAGCAGGGCAGGGCTGCCCTAACAGCATCACCCATCTCCCATGACAGCCTCCGAGGTGCTGAGGCCCCACCCTGTCCTGACCTGACCCAAATCAAAAGGCCCTGAACTCTCCAAGTTTTCTTCTTAAAAAAAAAAGAAGAAAGCTACAGATTCATAAGTGTGACAGGCTGCAATGTCTGTTCTTGGTTTACAAAGCTGCTTCCTATTGTCCATCCCTAGAACACTTAAATAAGATGGCTGTGTCTCCCCAAGGTCTGGGGTGGCACGCACAGCACACACACTCACACACGCTGGGACTATTTATATATGTATACATGTATATGATATGTACACGCCTTGTAGTGCAACAGCCGGGACTGAGCTGCGGCCCAGTCCACGTCCGCCTGCATAAAGTGCTTGGTGATTAACAAAGCTGGATGGGTGGTTTTGGGGAAGGGGGGCCAAAAGGCCACATTTTTTCCTGGTGGAGCCCCTGGGCAGGGCTGGCAGCTTTGGCTTGTGTGGGCACCCATCTCGGGGCCTCTGCTTGTCCTCAGCTCAACAGCAGGCAGCAAGGCTGCCCTCAGTTCTGGCTGGGGTGGGGGATGCCCATACGTCCCCACCTGCCATCCACTCAGCTGGGTGAGTTCTGCATGTCGGCTGCAATCTCTGACCCCAGCAGCCTGGGGAACAAGCCCAGGTTGGGGTTCTGTTGGGGGACCCTCCAGTGCCCCGAAGTCTACTGCAGGAGCCCAGGAGAAGTAGCTGGAGGCCTGGCTCTGGATGCTGGGTGGGAAGCTCAGTCCTTTCCTGGCACCAGAAGCAGTGCCAAGGCTGTGGGCTTGCCCCTGGGGGCCCGGCCAGCACACCACACTGCCCTTTTGGATTGGCAGGGAAGGGCTCAAGGGCCAGGGCTCTGAGAGGTTAGGCACCAATGCCGCTCAACAGGGCTGAGAGTCTCCGCTCAATGCACAGCTTGCCTGCAGTGATGAGGACACCCTGAGTGGGCTGCCCCACTGCCCCCTCCCTCACCCTCCCAACCCAGTGGGCACTCACACTTGGCAATGTTCTCCACATCCACCTGGTCCGTAAGGATCTGCTGCAGCCCCTCCATGAGCAGCAGGGCTTTGTGGTAACGCTGGACACAGTCCTCACGACGGTGGAACATCTCATCTAGAGCAGCCGACTGTACCTGCTCCAGTGAGGCAGAGGCTGGGCCCGGGTGCCCCCGCCACCACGGACAGGGAGCCCTGGGTCGACCACCCGCACATCTGCATGTGGCCCTCAAACTGTGAGCGCAAGTGATGGTGCAGCACCATCAGGGGCCATTGGTGTCACTAGGGGTGTAAACAGAAGCTGGGGCCTTACAGGTCAACCAGCCAGCTCTAGCCCAGGAAGTCAGTGCCACCAGGCAGAGGACTCCCTCCATCCCATCATCACTGTTAGTGATGGCCCAGCTCAACGGGCTCAGTCCTGGGGAGGGGAGGCAGACTCTTGTTCAGACCATGTGTGGTTTTACTAGACAAATGAACTTTCTCAGTAACAGGCACTGCCTCAGGAAAAATGCTTTTTGGGCAGAAGTATTCCAAAGGAACAGAAGGCAGGGCACCAGGCAGGCTAGTCCCCTGAATGACGCTTTCTGCAAACTATGCATTCCATATGGGGCTGCCTGTGGTGGCTGCTTCTGGAGACTGACTCGCCTACTGAGGGTCGTGGCAACAAGGTCTTCCATTTTATTTGTATTTTTTTGGCCATTTCATTTTCTTGGCTTTCTTTTTAAAGTACAGCTAACACACAATATATTGGTTCCAGGTGCACGGCACAGTGAGCTGAGTCAGGTGTGCTCACCACACTAAGTGTGGTTACCATACCACCAGATACTGCAGTATCGTGAACCATTCCCTATACTGGGCCTTGGTCCCCATGATTAAGTATCGTATAACTAAAGTGTGTCCCTCTTTGTCCTCTTCCCCTCTTTCTCCCATCCCCCCAGTCCTTCCCGTGGCAGCCATCAGTCTATGTTTCTGAATCTGTTTCATTTTTTGATTCCACACATAAGTGAAATCATATGGTTTTCTTTCTCTTTCTTCAGTGAGTATAATGCCCTCTAGGACCATCCACATTGTTGCAAATGGCAGGATTTCATTCTTTATGGCTAATACTCCACTGTCTATATGGACTACCTCTTCTTTATCTGCTCACCTATAATGGAGGCCACATGGGGAACCTGAGTTTCAGGGAGGGGTGTGGTAGGGATTCCTGGGCTGTGGAGCTGAATGTCAGGAGAGCTGCTGGGGTCCGGAAGAGCTCCCCATCTGCTGGGGATGGGCTTCTGGAGTACTTTTCCACCCCACCCACCGGCATACCGTCTGCACTGCGTGGCTGAAGATGAGCTGCTCTGCGGTGGCATTCTGGATGCGGCCCAGCAGCCGCTGCTTGTCTAAGAGGAAGCGTTGCAGCCGCAGGCTCAGGCCCTGGCAGGACACCACACTGGCCTTGTACAGCTCATTTAACCGCCGCACCACTGTGGGGGTGTGGCCCGTCAGTGCGGGTACCCCGTAGGGCACCAGTGGGCAAAGCCCCCACCATAGGCCAGCCTCATCCAACCCCATGGGCTCCACTCCAACACATGCGGGCCTTCTCACCCCACACCAGGGCCCCCTTGGAAAGGCCTCTGGCCACTGGACCCCAGTGGTTAGCTATCCCTCCCTGCCTTGAACATCCTGGGACACCACTGAATCCCCCCTGGTTACAGCACACACCCTGCTTCACTGTGGACGACAGGCAGAGCTTGCCAGCCCGGATCTGGTTGATGGCAGTCTGCAAGCCTGAGGAGAGCAGCTCAGCCACCTTCAGGTAGAGCACCAGCTGCTCCGCGAAGCTGGGGGTGGTGGACTGTCAGGTGACTCGCAGCACCCCCTGGCCCGGCCCCCACCCACCGTGCACACCCACCCCCACTCGCGGCTCAGCAGGCTGATCTGGTCGGCCACCACGCTCTCTTGCAGCAGGTACTCGGACCCCCCAGCCGTCTCACTGGCACTGCCCTTCAGGGCTGCAATCTCCAGGATGTGCTGGACGAAGACGAGGGTGAAGCGCAGGCTATGCAGGATCTCTGTGTGCTCTTGCTGTGGAAAACTGGGTGGCTGAGTCCGGCCCACCCTCCTCTCCCGAAGCTCACACCCCCATTTCTGGAGGTGCGTAACTCCAGCCAGGGGACCAAGATAACCTAGGCCTCAGGCATGCCCCCAGCCCAGCCCTCACCTCCATGAGGGTCTCCTCGGGAAGGTCAGGGGCCTCGAAGGTCACGGCTCCCTGCAGGTTGGCGGCAACGGGGTCGGCCAAGCTGCAGCAGTGGCTGGGGGCTGGGACCTCCGGGGTGGCCTCACTGCAAGCCCCAGGTACCAGGTGGCGGGCAGAGGAGGAGCCAGCCGAGCTGAGTGAGCTTGAGGAGCCCACTGTGGAGGGGGCAGTGAGTAGAGGCCCCACAGCTGCCCCAACTTAGGGCATGCTGACAGCACTCCATACCCACACGACAGACCCTCACCCCTCCCCTCTGGACTCCTCTCCCTCCAGGCCAGCTGTGCCTCAGTTTACCTTCATTCCCTCCCACCCTGAGGAAAACCCCAAGTAGAGGCCTTGCCCCTCCAAACCCCCCACCCCACAGGTGGGGACCCTCCAGTGGAGGTTGGGGCTGCAGAGGCCTGTCTGCATGGCTGTGCTCAGCCTGGGGAGGCCTGAGCCTGGGCCTCCTGTTGCTACAAGGATGGCCTGCCTTGCCAGGGTGGCTCCGTGAGGCAGCCCCAGGCACCATCCCTGTGATACTGTGACAACGGCAACTATGCCTCATGCTGCCTGACCGGGGAGCATGCATGGCTGCTCACAGCCGCCTGGGGGGCACTGGACAGTCTCACCTGAGAACATCCTGGTTCTCAGGCCCTGGGGTGGTGTGGTCCCACTCGGCGGTGAGCCCACGGTAAACACCACAGGTGACGGGCTGCTGGCCCTCCCTGCACGGGCTCCTGGGTGCAGGTTCCCTCCAAGGCCAGCAGAGGGCGCTGGAGGGAGAGAGGAGGGGCTCAGGGCTTTCGTGCAAGGCCCAGGGGCGCCTCCCACCCAGTCCCAGCTTACTGATCTCCATGGGCTTCTCCTGCAGGCTGTCTGTGCTGCCTGAGTCTGGGGCCTGTGTCCCAAATGCAGCCTTAAGGAGTAGATCAGTGAGACGGCCGGTGCTGAGGGACCTGCAGGGAGAGCATAAGGAGGCACCCTGGGTCCCGGAGTACCAGGCCCCACCCTGCCACAGACACCCAATGTTCCCTACCATGGGCAGGGCCAGAGCGGCCTCCTGGCCTGGTCAGAGGGCTCAGCCCAGCCCCGCCAAGCACACAGAGCACTTCATGTGGTCCTCTCGCCCAGCCCAGGGAACATAATGAGGCTCCAGAGGGGTCCCACAGGGAGGGTGCAGGGTGTGCCCCCCATCACCACAGGATGTAGGCGGTACTGGGCCTCACCGACCCTTGAGGAAGTGTGACAGGTCACACTGGGCAGTCCTTGCTGCTCACCTGCCAAAGGGGCCCTGGGTATCCTCAGTGGGCTGCAGACCAGGGCCCAGTTGCTGCCCCTGGAAAGGCCCTGCCTCCGAGAGGTCAGGCAGTGTCCGGTTCCGAGGTGGCGTCATGACCACACCCTGCCGGGCCAGTAGGGTCAGCAAGTTCTGGGAGCTGGGGGTCTTGGGGAAGTCGAAGGCAGGCATGGCCTAGGAGGGGCAGGTGGTGGCTGAGAATGGCCTTGATGCAATGCCAACAGGCCCACACCTGTATACGCAGGGCCCCAAACTTCCATATCCCAGGTCTTCACAAGTAAAGGCACCTGTGTCCATCTACACCCTCAGACACCACAAGCTAGCTCCAGGTTCTCGTCCCGTTTCACACAGGAAAACTAAGGTTAAAGGTGACCTAAACAATTTGCCCAGGGTAGCAGCCTAGGATTTCTGGAGCTGCAGCCTGTGGATCAGGGCTGAGACATTTCCCATCAAGGTCCCGAGAGCAGATGATTTGGCTTTGGGCAGCCAGTCTCATGGGAATGTGGCTGCCCCACATGTAGACAGGGAGACTGGTGGAGCCAGCCACCAGCCAGTGCAGACCAGGGCCCTGACAGCAGGCACAGCTGTCCTGGAGCTTGTCACCTGCCCCTGGACCCCTGTGGCCCTTCACCTCCCACTGTCAGGCCCTGTGTCCTGGGGCAGTCCTGCCAGGCACACAGCCCAGCATCAGAGCAGGTGGTGGTTGGAAAGGGTCTGCAGTAGAGCCTCACTCTCTGGTCTTCCCAGGATGGCCACTCCCCTTGCCCTGAGCTCTGGGGCTGTTACCTTGGTGGGGGACCCCAAGATTGGGGGTAGGGGAGTCCGCTGCAGGAAGTCAGGCAACTTGGGCGAGCCACGCAGCGGCCGGAAGGACTGCAGCCCACGGGATGACTGTGGGGGGCTGGCCTGTGGGAGGCCAAATGCTGTCCCCAGTGGGTCAGTGGGAGGCTTGGGCAGCTTGGGGTGAACGACATGCAGGTCAGACAGGTTGGGAGCGCTGTGCAGGCGGCAGCCAAGGCCAGTGGTGTGAGCAGAGTGCTCAGGCATAGAGGAGCCTGGACAGGACAGCACAGGCCTGGCTGCTGCCATCTGTGGGCTGTTGGCCCAGCCCATCCCACCACTACCCCTTTATCCTCATGGCCCCCTGTGCAAAGGTGTTCCCAAGCTGCACTGTGCATCCAAGGATGTAGGCACAGAGGAGCCAATACCCGCACAAGGTAACACAGTGAGGACTGGGTGAGGACTTGAATCCCACAAACAGCCTCAACAACCTCAAGGCTGGAGTGGCTCAACACACAGCCTCAGAATATCCAAGCTTCCTTCTATTTTTAAGAATTGCTGGCAGCGATAAGCCCAGGAAGAGGGCTCCTCCCTGGCAGGGGAGGCCAGGCCAGCCCAGCCCCTCCAGGCCCCCGAGCTATGTACTCACACTAGTTGGGTTGGGGCCGCACCTACCTGGGCGAGGGGACCGGCCACCCCGCATCTCGGCTCCCTGCAGGGAGGGCACTGCACTCCAGCCTGGCCGCTCAGGGATGGTTCCAACTGTGGGGAAAAGGGTCACTATTCACCCCTACCCCTGCACAGACAGCCAGTCACATGCCACAGCTCACACGTGGGCTCACCTTGTGGAGACGGTGTGTGGGGCCGGCCCCCACCAAGGGAGAGCTTCCTGGCCAGAGCAGCTCCGTGCTCAGTGTGGGACGGGGGCGAAGGACTAGCCCGTGCAAAGCTCAGGGGGCTGGTGCTGCCCGACCTGCGGATGGCAGAGGACCTGGGGACAGGAGCAGGTACAAGGAGGTGAGCCCAACACCGCCGCCCAACCATGCACAGCCAGGGCCATGCCCATGCCAGATGGCTCACCACCTAGTTCATAGAATGAGCCGCACCAGGAAGGTCAGGCCGCTCAACCTCCTGCCTGGAGCAACAAGTAGGTGGGGAACCCGAGTGCTTCCCCCTGGGCACCCACAAGCCTGAGATCACAGTACCTGCCAGGACAACGAGCCTGCAGGTTACTTGTGCGAATCACAAAGAAGGTGTCCTCTCCTCCTACACGCTTGTTCAAATTTACAAAATCAATATTGATTCTGGAAAACTCAAGACACTTGAATACTATCTACCAGAAACCTGTAATAGTAAACCTGAAATCACAGCATGTCCACAAAATGAATGGTGGCACTGAGTTACGCAGTGTGCAGCCTGCCTAGCTGTGCATGTGAGGCAGCCCTGCAACTCTCTAAGGAGACTATAGTGGGGCACTTCTCACTATAGTCCTCTAGGACATGCCTGGCCACAAGGAGCCCCTGCACTCACAGGGGGTCTGGTATTGGGAAAAGGGCTGCACTCACCGTGGGGTCTGGAACTGGGTGGGTGACTGTAGGTTCTGCTCAATGCGCTGGTAGTTCTGCACCTGGGTGGGGACTGGGATGGGAACGGATACGCCACACCTGCTGCTGGAGAATGGGCCAGCCCGGCTGTGGTGGGCAGAGAAGCTGGGGGTCATTGGAGCTGGGGCACTGGGATGAGCACCAAGCCCAGAACACCTTGGGGCAGAAACCACGAGACCACCTGCTTCCTGTCTCTGCATACTCCACAACACTGTCATCTGCACACCCACCCCATCTTCTGTGCCCCAGTGGCATCTGCTTGGACCAGCCTGGGAACATGAGTAAAAGGTCCGCCCCCGCCCTCCCAGCTCCGGGAGCCTGAGCCCACCCTGCTGGCACAGGTGGTCCCTGGCAGCTATTGAACTATGGCCCCTCTACCCTGGTGCCTTCTGCTGGACCACCCACGAGGACGACAGTGTCCTGCCAGGCATGAATCAAGTCAGGGCTGCTGGACACCTTTGCTGCCCACCAGCTGACTTAGGACTGGGGGTGCCCTGGCTCTGGCCCACACCCTGCCTTTCCTTAGCCCCATGCCTCTGCTCACCCTGAAGGGCTGGGGGAGCTGCTGCAGGGCGGGGAAGGCGATGGTGTCCGGCCATGGCTCTCCAGGCCAGCTGAGGCCACCAGTGAGCTCCTAGTGGGATCAGACAGGCAGGGCTATACCTTCAGGTCACACTTGCACAGACCCCAGCCCCTCCCTAGGACCCCATTCTATGCCAAGCAGAGCCAAGTTGGCCTTTCCTGTACCCTCACCCAGGCGGGGCAAAGGACATAGAGCAAGCACGCCCCTTCCCAAAATGAGGACGGCTCAGGATGGGGGCTTACCCGCTGCACATCAGGCTGTCAACTGGGGGCTTGGCACCAGCTACCTCGGCCACCAAGTCACCTGCACATAGGGGACATGTAAGGCTGGACCTGGGCATCTCTTGCATTGGGACATGTCCACTCTGCCCTCTTGACCACCTCACCTGCCATGGCTCCCTGATGGAGCTACACCAAACTTGGGACAGAGTGGCTTTGAGACAAAAGTGCCTCATCCTGGAGGCAGCTGGGAACCAAGCCATGCCCGGCCCAGCACCTGCCCCCTCTTCCATCAGGGGCATGAGAGTCCCCTTTGCCATCTGCATTTCAAGAGCTTGAGAGAGACCCTGGACACCCCCTGACTTCACCCAACTCCAGCCCAGCATCCCAGCTCCCAGGCTGGGCCTGAGCCCTCCTCCAGGACTACAGAGCCTCATCTGCCCACTCGCAGCCCTCCCTGCCGCTGACAGGCCCAGCACAAGTCCATCGCTGCTCCCGGCAGATACCAAGGCCCACTGCAAACCAGTCCTGGCCCAGGAGTCTGGCACCAGACAGCCAGGGCAGTGTAAGGAAGTACCAATGTCTAGAGTCATGCGGGGAACTGAGGACCCCAGGGCTTTGACAATACCAGCTCAGTCACTGGGCCTGCAGGCTAAAGGAGGGTCTTTCACTACCCAGATGCCACATGTCTACGGGTCTTACGAGAACCCAGAACCCAGGCCAGGGTGGCATACAGAGTACCTGCCTGGGGCCTAGGCCCAATGGCAGGACTTGGCTTTGCTATCTGGCCAAGCCCACCTGATGCACAAGCTCCCAGGGGCACATTTTAGGGCCCGCAGGTAGAGACATGTTCATGCCAGGTGCACGTGTCCCCCCAAAGCCCCCAGGCCCAGACCTGGAAACTGGGCTGGGACCATGACGAAGTCATCCGTGTCACAGGACGAGTCCTTGCTGCTGCCGCCGGACTCCCGAGAGCCCTGCAGGAAGCCAGCAGCATCGGCTGGGGAGGTCAGCGTCTTCTGGAGCTGCCGCTGCATGTCTCCCAGCGACTAGGGGTCAGAGGTGAGGCCACTGAGAGCCAGCCCAGGCCTGGGCAAGACAGGGCTGCTGGGGCCCAGAAAGCGCTCTGCTCTCCCTGCAGGACAATCCTCCTCCTCCTCTTGACTTTCTGAGATGCCACCCCCAGGTCAGCCTGAGTCCCATGGGGCTGTCCCAGATGGGAGCCACCTGTCTCCCAGGGCAGATGAAGTGATTGGCTCCCACAGAGCTGAGGAGACACCGCACCTCAGGTGACTCCCCACTTCCCCATCTGTCAGCAAGGCCGGTCCTGCACCCATCTGGGGACAGAGCAGAGAGGCTGCAACCCTCAGTATATGGCCCATGAAACACCTGCCTTTAGGCCTGAGCAAAAGTCCTACCCCCGCCAATGGCCCGGGACCCAGCCCCTGCCTGGAAGGAAGGATGGGCAGAGTTCACAGCCATGCAGTGAGGTCCCCACTCCGTCACCCTCAGCAGACCTCATCCCACCTATGCCGAGGTCTGGGGCACAACTACAGAGGCTCTCTCCTGGTCCTGGGCTCACGGGCTCCCTGCCCAGGTTTCTACCTATAGCCCCACAGCTGCCATGCGTGCCATCAAACATGGAGGTCTCAAGGACTTGGCTTCTGGGCTGCTGGTGGCAGGACTCAAAAGTCTTGGCCTACGCCTAACACTTAGTGTGATGCAAGCATGGGGGTGAAGGAGGTGCCCTGGCAGGAGTGAGAAGCCTGCCCCCCAAACCCGAGGAGGCCCGGCTCACCGGCGGGGAGGCCAGATGCGAGGTGGAGCTGCTGCTGGAACTGCTGCCAGAGCCCGAGCTTGGATAGGAGGGCACAGGCACTGGTGGGGCTGGCAGAGGACTCAGGTCAGTGCGGGCTCTGCCCTCTGGCCGCTGCAGCCACATCCCCACTCCACCCATGTGGCGGGCTCCCTGCCCCAACCTGGGGAAGTCCCGGCCCCACCCCCAAACTTGCTGCACCAAGTCAGCTGAGCCCAAGGTCACCCCAGGGTAGAGGAGGGCTGAGGAGCCCAACCCCAGGAGAATGAGGGGCATAGGAGCTGGGACCCTCAGTGAACTCACACTTCTTCACCGTGGCACTGGCATCAAGAAAAGGGTGATGGAAAAACTCATCTGCAGGGTTGGAGGCAGGGTGAATAAGGCCCCAGTAGGCCCAACCCCCAGGGACCCAGAGTGAGGGACCCACACCACCTCACCCTGGGGCCCAAGCAACAGCTGGCTTTGGCATCTATCCTGGTCAGCATCACACCAGGTGTGGAGGGAGACAAAGCCCCCACAGGCGGCTCTTAAACACTCCTGGACAAGCCCCACCCAGGCCAGCTCCCAACCCTGCCCAGTGGTGGTTTCCCCGCAGCACATCCCATTGCACTGCCAGCACCATTGGGAAAGGGCCTCGCAAGCCAGGAGTAAGCAGGATGCTGCTGGGAAAGCTGCTGCCCCAGCCGGTCCAGAGACCACACTCACCAAAGTCCATGCGGTCTTTGTGGTTGCGCTGCAGCAGGGCCAGGAGCAGCTGTCTCAGTGGGGCCGAGGTCTCCCGGGGGATGCTGGGGTGGGACCAGGAGATGACACTGACAGGGCAGCCCAGCTGCGAGGTGTGCGGGCCATGGGGGCCTCGGCTGGGGGAGGGGCACTTACGTGGGCACCAGTGTCTTGTTCCTCTCATAGAAGAGGCGGAGGTCCTGGGGGCTGCTGGCCTGTTAGGGAACAATGACCTGAGTGCCCTGCTGCCCTCAGACATGGCTCCCGCCAGAGCCTCTGACTCCTGCATGTGGCCCCTCGGCCAGGCCTGGTACAGACACTGTACATCCCACAGGTTTCCAGGGGTGGGGGCTTCCCATTCCCCCAACCCCTGACCACCACACATACCACCAGGCCACTTAAGTGTGGCCAGGCAGGCCAAAGGCAAGGTGGCCTGGATGGGCACACTCCAGGCACCTGGTATGATTAGCTGTTTGATTCTTTGAGTGGAAGAGTAGTCTGTGCACTCCACCCAGGAAAAGTGCCCTAGAACAAGCTCAGCCCTCCCAGTGGCACCCTGCTCCATGGGGCACAAGGCTGGCACATGGGTTCATGCACTTGTCCACTCATGAGCACTGCTGTGTGTCAGGTATGGCTCCGGACACCAAGGACAGCCAAGGCAAGGCAGCGCCCTGCCTTCTTGGGGCTGATGTACCGCGAGGGAGGGGAGCAGGGTAGAAAGGAGGCCTGGAAGGAGTGAGGGGCCAGCCTAGGTCAGTGGGCAGGCAGAGAGGGCTGTGAGTAAGCTGAAACAGCCAAGAGCCAAGCTGGGACCCGCTCACCTGGAAGGGTGCCCTCCCAGTCAGGCACTGGTATACAATGGTGCCAATGCTCCACAGGTCCGCCTTCCCATCGTAGTGCTGGGACATGATGACTTCAGGGGCCTGTGGGGTGTCAGAGAAAGAGATGGGTTGGCAATGTGCTAAGGCAGGAAGGTACACTGAGAATGTACACTGATCAAAACGTGGTGCCAGATGATGGAAACAAGACACCAGCCAGCTGTCACCCAATTGCCATAGACTTGGAGGGACAATGACTGCAGCCACACTGGCTGCCGCCCTAAGTGAGGCAACAGGACAGGACTCAGCACCTAGGGAGGGGCCCACTGATGGTGGTCCTCACGTGGGGCTCAAGGTACTGGGGAGGCCCACCTACCATGTACATGGGGGAGCCGCAGAGTGTGGCTGCCATCATGTTGCTCTGGAGGTACCGAGCGAAGCCGAAGTCAGCTGCGGGCAGGGGAAGTGTGAGGAGAGTACCCGCGCCCAAGCCCAGAGTCCCTGCACGGTACCAAGCCACCCCACCTGTGCCTGCACCCCTGCAGGGCATCCCTGCACCCATGCCACCCCAGCCTTACCGATCTTGACACGGATGTTGTTGGGGTTGGCGCGGCGCCCGCCAGGGTTGGACAGCAGAATGTTCTGAGGCTTCAGGTCACGGTGGATGATGCCCTTGCTGTGCAGCAGCCGCATGGCACCTGCAATCTGCTGCAGGAAGAGCCGGATGGTGTCCTCGCTCAGCGTCCGCATGGCTTTGGGGAGACGGGGTTTGCTCACCTGGGTGCTAGAGCAAGGGGCTGCGACACTGCCCAGCCCTCTGGCCCCTGTGACTGGGCACAGCAATGCTCCACTGCAGCCCATTCAGCAGCCTCCTCCCCACCCTGCCAACTCCAACCTCTCAGCTCTGCAGCCCCACACACCCTGGTCCCCTCAGCAATAATCAGTCCTTGGCCTGCTCCTCCAAGCAAACACTACAGACAGCAGCCCTGCAATCAGCCCCCAAGTGCTTGGCACTCCAGGAGCAGGCATTGAACAAACCACTGGGGGCAGTGAGCAGAGAAGGGGGCTGTGTGCTTCAGGGACCTGGCAGGGCAGGCAGGGGCAGGTGGATGGCACACCCCAGCCACCCAAGAGGGGCCCCTCCACACAGGGTCTGCCCTGTGAGGCCATGCCTAATGGTTCAGGCACCAAGTGTGTCCCCCACAGAGCTCTTCCGCATCTTTCCCACAGGCACCAGGGTATGGAGTGTCCACCAGTGACATCAGGCCAGGGGAGCTGGTTCCGCCAGGCTACCCCACAGCCTAGATCAGGGTGAGCTGGGCACGCAGCATGCCCGGCCATGAGGCATCAATCCACTCACTGTGCAGATAGTCAGCCAGGTCCCCGCCGTTACAGTACTGCAAAAGACAGTGACACCCTGGTCAGACCCTCCAGGCCTCCCTGACCCTACACCTCGATGCCTGCTCTCTGGGCATTCAAGTGCCCTGTCCCACCCCAGAGCAGTCGTCTCCTGCAATCTGTACTTGAGGTGGTCAGCAGAGGCACTCTTCATCACTTGGGACCTGCCATGGCTGTCAGGGCACTTGGTGTGGTGGCCCTAAGCCTACAGATGTATGGACAACTTCTAAATCCCAGGTGGCAAAGTCCCAAGAGCTGGGAGAGCCTGGCCTCCCTGTTCTCACAGCTGGGCCTGCAGGGACTCACCTCCATGACCAGGTAGACAGAATTGGCCATTTCCTGCAGGACACAGAAGAGGCAGTGAGAGGTGGAGGGGAGCATGCCATGCCCTGCCCTGCCCGCCCTCTGGGAAGTCTGAGCCTGTGTGACCTGGGCACTTGGCACCTGCAGGTGCCCCCACTTACCACCTGGGCTACTGCTAGGAGAGACGAGTGGACATCGCTGGCCTTGAGAGCCCTGGGTCTACTGTGCCAGCCCTTAGCTGGTTGGCTAGTGGCCAGGAGATGAGAAATCTGACAGCCAAGTGGGTGTTTGTGTGTCATTTTGTTTTTGAGGCCATGGCATATGGGCTTGAATGACAGGAGCAACCGCTAATCCCATCATTACCTTGCCAAGTCTGGGGAAGGAGCTGAGTTCCTGGTAGGGGTGTCCAGAGTGAGGCATGAGCCCTGCCTCTGAAGGGGGGCCCTCAACTGCCCAGCTCCCCACCAAGACCAGGGTTAGCCCTAGCCAAGGTTCTGACAAGGCTCAGCTTACGATTGTACGAGCGTTCAGTGCTGGCTGAGTGGACCTACCCAGTTGGGGACCCAGGTCCCAAAGAAGGAACACAGCCAGGGTGTGAGGGGTCTTAACAATAGAAAGCACTCAGCTCTAGGCTCAGGAATCAAAGCACCAAAGGAAGTTTGGGTCAGCACTGCCAGCCCATTGCCAGGCAGCAGCCCAGGCCAGCTTCTGGCTCGGCTCTCAGCCATGCATGGCCTCAAGGTACCCCTGACATCCTCAGCTCAGTCCACCCCAGGACATGAGGAGGCACCCCTGACACTGGAGGAGCTGAGGGAGCCCCACTCCTAACAACCAGTATTCACATGGCCCTGGGCCACCAGCAACTTCACCGGGGGCAGGGCATCTCCATCAAGCCACCAGCAGGATGTGTCACTAAGATCCCCAGGTCAGGAGCGAGTAAACTGGGGACCGAGAAGCCAAGCCAAGCCAAGCAGGCAGGTGGGTGGTAACCTCCCTGGCTCTCCCGCAGACAGGCCCCCCAATCCTGCCAGCCAGCGCTTGTGGCAGAAGGCACAAAGCCCCCAGCCCCGCTGGTGATCTGCTCCCAAGGCAGCTCCAACTCCTCACCCTTCGGTGCAAGGGTAGCCCCACAGCTCTCAAGGCATGGGGGGAGGGAGCCAAGAAGGGGTCCCAGGGAAGAGGAGGGCACCCGAGGCCAAGACACAGACCAGACCCCAGCAGCAGACTACCGCCTTCCACTCCTGTTCAGGTCCCAGGAAGCCCCCAACCCTCACCTGGTAGGACAGAGAACCTCTGCTCAATAACTCTGCCCCCAGGACAGAACCTGGGCTCAGACCCACACCCAGTGGGCTAGGAGCAGGGACACACAGCCACTGGTGACACCCCATGTTTAAATGTCAGCCCCCCAAAATAAGAGAAGGCCCCTGCATCCTTGGAGGACTGTGCATCCAGGGCAGGGCTGCCTTGGGGAGCAGGCTGGGGCATACCATGAGCTTTTAGGGTGGCTCTGTCCAGAGAGGCAGGCCTCAGCCCGCCCCACCTGAGCCCTCACAGCAGCTGCCACAGAGCTGGGAGCCTGCGGCAGCCCCCAAACCAGCCGTCCAGGCCAGCTGCTGCGGAGAGATAAGTGCAGGTAGGAGAGTCCCCAGCCACGGGGACCCATGGGAAGGGCCTGAGCCAGAGGAGGCGGAGAGGCTCTGACAGCTGGGACAGGAGCCAGAGGCCCTCAGATGAGGACCAAGCAGAGGGGGAGGAAGGTGCAGAGATAAGAACCCAGAAATAACGCAGAGCTCGTACGCCAACTCCCTGTGCACACAGGCCACCCGCCTCCTGGCCAGCCATCACCCTGACAGCGGCTACCTCTGCTGACATGAGTGTGTGAGTGTGCCCCCGGCTGCTCCTCGCCAGGGAGCGCCAGGTGCTATGAACGCTCTTGCCATGAGTAGTCCAGAAAGGCTGAGTCCCTTGCTCTGGGCCACACAGCCAGAGGGGCAGAGAGGGGACTCAGGCCCAGGAAAGCCCCAGACTTACCCACGGAGCTAGAACAGAGTGACCAGAGCAGGCAAATCAGCCAGCCATAGCATGCACCCCATGTGCACTTTGCACATGCTAAGTGTCCTCAGGGAGTGGCCCCCAAGGACTGGCAGGGATGGACACTTCTTCCCTGAAACCCAAGATAACCACCTTCAGGAAAAAGGTTCCCTTTGTGCTCCAGAACCCACAGGGCCCCCATGCAGGGCCTGGCCCAGCTCCACCCCCACCTCCGCACACCAGCCAGGACAACCTTCCGAATGTGACAGCAGATACCCTCTCTTCAAAGACCCCATCCCACAGTCTGCAGGCCAGGCCCCTGTACACTCTTAGGTACCATCCTCCCATCCCCACTCACCCCTGCCCACAGATTCACTATTCCTAGTGCTCTCCCAGGCCTTGCTCCTCCCCACAGGAGGTCACAGCAAACTGTCACCTCTCCAAAGGCCCCCTTCCTGGTGACCCTGATGCCTTCATAGTGACTCAGCCCCTCAAGAGGGCCGGGCCCTCAGAGCCACAGACCAGAGGCTCACCTGTGCATGGTTGGGGGTGTCCAGGCTCCTCCTCCCTCTCATCTTTGTCCCTGTCCCCCCCAAATAGGCCCACTCTGTGACAGACCACAGAGGGTCAGGGGGTGGATAAGGGCACAGCAGGCTGAGGCCCAGGGGCTGGGAGGCCAAGCCTACCTGGCCTCAAGGCATTCAGGCCTGGGGAGACCCAGGGTCCCCCACCACCCTACAACACAGGACAGCTTCAGATAGGCCCCTTCCTGTCTGCCCCTACCATAGGCTGGGCCCTTGGAGGCCCATCTCCAAGCTTGTTAGCCTTTGTGTGGGCTAACTCCCCTGGCAGCAGGAGCAAGACCGCATCCCAATGGGATCAGGAAACATGCCCAGGGCTGGGAGGCAGAGGATGGTTCAAGTATGTCCAGCCTCCCCACCCCCATGCCTGCACCTAGCCAGGTCCCAGTAGAGCCTGGCAGCACAGCCACTAGCCATGGTAGGGACAAGAACGTGGGGTCCAACCACAGGGCTCCTGGGTGGGGTTTTTCCAGGGAGGTTGCATGCCCTGACCCTTCTCCAGGGCCTGGCCTCCCTACCCACCTGGGGCCATGCAGTCACTGCTGGGTGTCCCCCACCCCTCCCCGGGGAAGCCAGGACCCCCAGGAGGAGGGAGAAGTCAGCACAGCCCCAGTGATCATGACTGACAGCTGACAGCTAATGTGCCCCAGCCCAGCCCAGCCCACCATCCAGAATCTGGATAGCTTCAGGGTCCACCCCCACCAGCCTCCACATGGGCTAAATCTGGTATTCACCAGCTCCCCAGGGAGCAAAAGGGGACCAAACCACCTCCTTGGGGTCAATCTAGAGTCAGTCTAGACACTTGAAAGGACCAGGCCAGCTTGCTGGGGCTCCTACTGATTGCCTGATGCCAAGCCAGTCTCCCCATTTGAGGAAGAAATAGGAGTTCAGGTGGCTCTCCTTGAGCTTAGGCAGCAGGTTCTCAGGAGCATATTCTGCTACTGACATGTAAATACATAAGTGAAGCCTGGCCCACCAGACCCCAGACCCTGCCCTCACTGCTCCCCACTGCCAGCCCAACACCCTGCAACCCAAGGACTAGGCAGGTTCGACTAATTTGGAGCCTGTTGAAGAAAAAGAGTGGATCTGCAATTCGGTCTGTCACACAGTTGGCAAGGCAGGGGCAGGGCTGGGCTAGGAGTCCAGACTTCACCACTGTGCACACCCCAAGGAAGGGGGTGATGACCCACAACCTGGGCACTGGTTGTGTGGGACAAAGCAAAGCCTTTAGAAGGAGAATCAAACAGCCCTGTCCCTTTCTCAACAGCATGCCCATCAGTCCCACACGCTGGCCTGGGGAACCGGCCCATAGGACACACCAACAGGGTGCTAAGGTGCTTTGCTAATAGGATCTGACTCCCAGGCAGGCAGGAAGGCAGGTGACCTCGTTAACTCCTCAGGAGCCAGCCACCTTGGTTTTAGAAAGTGGCAAAAGCCACAGCCAGGGAGAGGACAGAGCCTCCCACAGGAGCACAGCTGCTCCCCACCCTAGGGTGGGCTCTTGGGGACAGCTTCCAGAAAGGAAGGGACCTGGCCCCCACCAAGGAGGAAGGCCCACCCCCCTTCCTCAGGGAGCCTCCTCCAGCTGCCCATTGTGTGGCGGCTCCCCTAGGGCCAGCCCCCAGCTCCTGCTTCCCGCAGTGGGCCTGTGAGACCAGGAAATGCAGGGGACACTTCCAGGGCATGTCGTGTGAGCTGGTGCAACCCCTCGGAAGACAGAATCTACATATTCCTCCCAGAGACCCACCAAGCCCTAGTTGATGCACACCCCAGTGACACTTCAGATTTGACACCCAGATGCCCGTACCAGCGCATCATCCAGGGATGAACCTGAATGGGATGCCATAGGGCAATGCAGAGATAGCCCCCATGGTGGGACGGTGTGACAGCACACAACTAAGACAAACTGCGGGGGTCCAGAGCTCAGGCAGGCGGACCTGTAGGAAGTCCCCATGGACAGTAGGTTCCTCTGGTAGGTTCCCCACGCGTTCCTCTGGTGGGGAGGCACTTGGGGACCAGGTTTCTGGGACTAGCCGAATTCGATTTCTTACACTGCATTAGTCACACAAGTGCCCACTTTATTAAGCACTTTGTATTTGCATTGTGCACTGTCCAGTATGTATTGTACTTCCAAATTTTCAGTTAAAAAAAAAAACAGACAAAACAACAATAATACCACTTTGCAGTCAATTTCCAGAACTACCTGCATCCTCAGGCCTACCCATAGGCCAGTTTTGGAACCTAGTACCAAGGGGCTTCAGCACTGCCCACATCCCCTGCTGCTCAGGCCCAGATTGCCAGCCCCTGCCCCTTTCAGGGAGGAAAAAGCAAGACTGAGGATTGGCACTGTCCTGAAAGGCCCCAAAGTAAGGCAGGACACTCCCTTTGACCAAGGACTACACCAGCCTCAAATCACAAGGAGCTGGCCTGGCTCTGCCAGGCCCAGGGTGACTGAGTCACGTCCAGCTGTGGGAACCTGCCGGACAGCGCGTGGGCCTCAGGAGTGGGAGGGGTCACTGTCAGCAAGGCCTGTGGCCATCAGACCACCTCCCTCGGCAACTGGGCAAGGCTGCTCTCGGACACACAGTCCTGCCCCAATCCCTGTGATAGCCGCTCTCCCTAGGCCGCAGACACCACACAGTACCCTATAGTGAGACCAAGAGCCCAGCCCCGTAATCTTCAACGGAAGGCCAGGGTCTCCAGCCACCAGCCCATGGGTCTGGGGGCCTCAGAACAAAACACAATCCAAGAGGCCCACCTCCCAGGCACCCATATCAGTCTGACAAATGTCCCTTGTCTGTATAGCCACACACAGAACAACCTCAACAGACAATAACAAACCAGAGAGGGGAAATTTGGAACTGATTGTGAAAGGGCTTTCCTTAACACATAAAGAGTTTCTACAAATCAGTATTTACGCAGTACTTACTACATAGCAGGCACAGATCCATACACCTAACATACTGACTCGGTGGTCGTCATGACCACCCTGCAACATAGGTGTACTGTCATGTTCTCCAACACTGAGGCACCAGGGTCACACAAGTGAGTAAATGAGGAGGCTGAGCTCAGAAAATATGGCTCCAGGCTCTTGCAATTAGCCACAGTACCATCAGCTTCAGGAAAAAAAGGCCACCAGGACCCGCGCCCAGGGCAGGGGTATGCCTAACATTCACATGTACATCTCATGAGAAACAAAGCCTCGAGAGACGCCATCTCCACCTCCTGGACGGGGCCAAGATGGAAGTCTGGTAACTAACCTCCTGGCAGGGACATGGGGAGACAGGCCTCCCTGTGTACAGCACACTACATGTCCATGGTCCAGTCTTCATGGACCACATTTTAACATCTGCTCCCAAATAAAAGCAGACACCCCTCTTGCCCAGGAAGTCAACATCCAGGACTCTACCCTGCAGACATACACATGGCAAAAGTGAGTGCAAGGGTAGTCACCACCCTGCAACGTGTCAGAATCCCAAAATAACCTTGAATCCCATGAGTAGGGGATGGGCAGGCCAGCTCTGGGTATGGGTATGGAATCCCACATGGTGGCAGGTGACACCTGCAGCAGCTCACCCTCCACAGCTCTCACTGCAACTAGTGTCAACCAAATCCCAAGGTCTGCCTCACAAAGAGCAATGGAAGCACAGAGAGGTCAAACAAGTGCCCAAGGACACACAGCTAGTTTAAGTGGCAGACACCAGTCATCTATCTAGCTTCAGAGTCTAGGCTCTGAACCACTGTGCTCAGAGATGGTAACCTGGTGAAGAAATCTGTGGTGAATTTCCCTGGGAGGGGAGGGGTATTATGTAGAGGAATAAGGAACCACCTCCAAGACACATGCAAGTGCAAAAGCCATGGTGAAGAACAGTAGGTGGGGTGTGGCAAAAGCATACATGAGATTGTGTCCCTGTCCATGGAGAGATGCAGAATACCTGAAGGAGCTGTGGCACCTCTGGGGAACACAGGCTCCACTGGCAGGGGCAGAAGAGGTACCTTTTTGCCTACCACTTCTGTAAATTTTTTTTTTTGCCCAATCACTGACTATCCAGCTTTAAAGCCTTTTTTCCTAATTCCCTGTCTCATACAGGAGTCCAAGGACTGGCTCTGAGCACTTCCTCTGCTGTGGAAGCCGCAGCCAGCCCAGGAGGAAGTGGTCTGCCCACAGCCAGGTGCTTGGAAGGAGGCAGGAGGAGGGAGGGGGAAGGAAGAAGGGAGGGGCAGAGAAGGGAGCTGGAGGCAGCAGAGGGAGGAGGAGGAGTTAGGCACTGCCCTCCCAGCCCCAGGACACAGTGTCTCTGTGCCAGGCTTCCAGGTACTTGCTGTCACACTGGACCTGTGCCCTCCCACGTCACCTCATGTCATGCCACAGCCCCCAAGGCCACAGCCCAGCTCTGAATGGGGAGGGAAGACGAGGGAGGAGGGATGAGGCCACCAAAACACATTCAGGCTGTGAACTTCCCCTCAGCCAGGGGCTGGTCCCGTGGCCTCAGTAAACAGGTTTTAAAACCATTAGTCAGCACTTTGGCCCTAAGCTCTGCTGCCTCAGGTTCTCAGTCCCCAAACTGGATATCCAGGGTACGAGACCCTTGCCGAGGATGGCCCTGCTGCCAGCCCAGGGGCCTGGAGCTGTGGGGGAACCCAGGAGCGGCCTCCTGGGCCGGCTAAGCCTGAAGTGGCCTCATCAGACAGGCCACTGCCTCCCTCCTACCTCCTGCCCCCAGTAGCAGGACCAAACAGCCAGCAAGAAGGAATCTCCCTCAGCCCCTCCCCTCCCCTCCCCCAGTCTGACGCACGGAGAAGCCAGCCAATGCCAGGCTGCTGGAGCACTGTCAACAAACAATCACCCAGCCAGACAGGTGGGCCAGGCTGCTGGGATTGCCTGGGGCCTGCGCTGGGGACAACACTCACTCAGGTCAGGGCCACTGGGTCAGAGCACTCATCCTACCCATGGCCCACCACTGGCGCCTTTGTCAGTCCGCCAGCCAGAGAAGGTGGGGACTCTACGACATGCCCAGAGGAAGCCCAGACAGAGCCCTCTGGCCTAGGCAGGCCAGACAGCTGTCTACATACAGGGGCACCCAGCTCTTTCCCCAACACAAGATGCTGGCCTAACACCATCCACTACGGACCAGGGTCTCCAGTGCCTGGCTGGCCTGGGCTCTATCCTCTGGGGTCTGAAACTGTGCACAGGCCAGCCTGGGAAAGTACCACACCCCCTCCCCACAGCGACCACAGCCCCAGCCTCACCTGGAAGTCATACAAAGCCACGATATTTTCATGTTTCAATTCCTAGGGCAGAAACCAAGTTTCTTATGAGCGAGGCGGGCTCACCCACCACTTCCCCTCCCGCTTCTCATGCCAGCTCACCTTGAGGATCTTGATCTCCTTCCCCAGCAGAGTCTGGGACTTGGCCAGGTTCTTTTTGTTAATACACTTTACCGCGACCTCCAGGTCGTGCTTCTGAAAACAAAGCAAGGACGTTCTTCATGGACTGGGAACCCTGGAACCCCTGGAAGGCCGCCCACAGGCCAGGTAAGCACCTGGCAGTGTAGGTGGTGGGGTCTCCCGGAGGTGTGGGGATGAGGGGCCCCTGAAAGATGTGGGAAAGGCATGAGAGGGCCTTGGGGCTCCCCAGGGATGTGGGGGTGGAGGTCCCTAGGAGATGTGGGGGTCCCAGGGGATGTGGGGATTCGAGAATGTGGGGCTGGGGGTCATTGGGGGTTGTGGAGATGAGAGGATGTAGGGATAAGGAGGTCTCCAGGGGTGTGGGGTCGGGAGGGGGAGGTGGCGGGATAAAGGAATGGGGTTGGGGGTCCCCGGAGTTGTGGGGGTGAGTGGATGGGATGAAGGGCCCCCAGGAGCTGGGGTGAGGGTGGGGTCGTCCTCTCCGGGCCTCGCGGAGCCGCCGGCCCTCACCTCGCGGTGGCGCCCCTTGAAGACAACCGCGAAGGCCCCGTGTCCGATCAGGTCCTTGCGCGAGAATTCGAATTTGCCCACGGCCTCCAGGCCGCCGCGGCCGGGCTCCATGGCGGGCGGCGGGCGCGCTCAGGCGGCGGCACCGGCCGGGGGCGGCGGGCGGGGGCCGCGCCCCATTGGGCAGGCCGGCCCGCTGCCTGCCCCACGGGCCACTCAGGGCGCTCCTGGCCCGGGCTGCTAATTCGAGACAACCCCGGCTCCGGCTCGGTCTACGGCTCCGTGTCCAGCTCCGACTCCAGCCGGGAAACAAAAGAGCCGGGGCCACAGGGCCCGGAGCCTGAGACGCCAGCGCAGGCGCAGTGCGCGCAGGGGGGGGGTACGCGGGGATGAACGGGGGGCGGGGCCCGGCGTGGACTGGGCTGCTTGGGGCGGAGCGGGGCTGCTCCGTGCGGCGCGAGCCTGGAGGACAGAGGAGCTTAGTGGATGGTGAGGCTGGCGGTGGCGGGGCCCTGAGTGGGCGTGGCCTAGAGAGCGGACGCGCTGAGTGGGTGGTGGGACTGCTGGGGCGGGGCCGGGAGCGAGCCCGCCTCCTCGCCGGCGGAAGGGTAGACCAGGTATCCTGGGCGAGGGTGGCCAGTCTGTGAATCCCAGAGGTGCATATTTTCTTGTCTTGCTAAGGCTGCCATTAATATCTGAATGTGGCATGTGTATCCCAGGTCTAGGGACTCTATAGAAGAAATTGTTAGAGATGAGCTGCGTTAGACGTTACACACTGAAAATGCCTTCCTTAGTAACAAATTGTCCACCACACTGCACCAAAACCTAGGAAATAGCCCACAAGTCCATCAGAGAGGAAAGGTTAGATAAATTATGGTGCATCCTTTCTATGGAATAATGCACAGCAAATTCTCAGACACAGGGTTAAATATATGTAAGCAGCTCCAATGTAATTAAGTGAAAGCAAAATGCAGAACAGGGAACTGAGGTAATATTTGTCATTTTAAAAAGTCACTAGAGGGAGGTGTGTATATACAATAACTACATGTGTACACAGTTATATGTATGTATATTCATGTGTGTAGTACACAGTAGTATACTGAGTAAGTATAGTATGCAATATAATTATAACAGCTAACCCACTGTTTACCACACGCCAGGCCGTGGTCTTTCCACATATTAACTCATTTATTACTCACAATGGTTCCATGAGATACTTGCTATTATATCCTCATTTTGGAGGTGAGAAAATTGAGGTGCGGAGAGGTTAGGTAATGTGCCCAAAGTCACACAGTCAGCAAAAGGAGAAAGAGTCAGGATTCTCACATGAGAAAGTGTTAACAGTGGTTGCCTTGGTAAGGGTCAGTCCTTTCATAGTACATGTTGAGAACTAGTGTTGTTAGAGTAAGTAGATAACCAGACATGAGCAAGGAGGGGATTGGGGACTTTGGCCAGGGTTTATATCTGGCTAGATGCTTGTTTATATTCTTAACATTATGTATAAACTGTTCTCCTGGGATGTGGGGAGTGAGGTTATAGATGACAGACCTGCTAAGACTAACTGGTTCCAACAAGGAGAAATTGATCCTGACTTCACCTCAAAGTACATTATATGCTTATCAGCATACTAAAAACTACCCCCTTTAGCACCATGACAATTCCAAGGAAGACCATCTAAGGATAAAAGAGGGTGTCACCCTATTTCCCAGAAATCCCCTCCCTATTCCGCAAAAAACCTCATCTATCCTGATGAATATTCCACCCCCTGCTTAAACTCAAGCTATAAGACTACCCAACTGGAACCCCACCATGCTGCTCACCTCTGGAGCATGCCCGCTCTCCCTCCATGAGTGTGTACTTTAACTTTATTAAACTACTTTTTACTTGTACCTGCTCCACCTGCTTGTGAAGTCTTTCTAGATCAAAGTCAAGAACACTCTCCTAGGCGTCACCTAGCACACAGGGAAATCCCCCTGAATTGGATTGCCCAACTACAGAGTGTATTGTCCTTATCATATTCAAGTATTGCTTTTGCAAATGCAGAATTCTAAATAAACAGTGCTCTTCACTGCCTTCAGTGAAAGCCCGGATGGTTGCCCAGCCTGTGGAAACGTGGTTCCAGTCCAACAGGTAGGCTCTCCA